AATCTAATATTTAATTATTAAAATACCTAACAATTTCATCAAATCCTCAAAAGGACCTGTTATAAGAGAAGTACCTGTATCAGCTACTACTTTACAACCTTTAGGACAGAACCCCTCATCTTTTCCATTGACTAATATATTTTCAGCCTTTATCATCCAATAATATTTATCAATAACTGGATGATAATGAACTGGACCATCAAGTTTAGTTACATCATAACCACCAAAAGTAATTTAGGATTCATAACTATTGACTTAGTTACTCATATAAAATGAGAATTAGTTAGATTTTAATTTCTTCTCTTGGATAATATTGTCAAACAATGGATTAAAATTATAGGCTGCCATACTTGGATAAGCTAATCCTACTATACCATCGAAACCTGACTTTGCAATTATTTAACTTTCATACATTTTAAAAAACTGAACCATTTTCTTCTATTATTTCTGCAATATTTTGATCTTCAACTTCTATTTCACCTAATTTTACAACATCTGAATTTATTTCACCATTTAAATCACCAGTACCAAATTACACATTCAAAGCATATCCCAAATGCTTAGATCTCAAACTTGGTTTATATTATGTATGTTGTTTGCATCCTTCATTCTTACATTTAGTAGAGTCTATCCAAAAGTTTGCAGAACCAGTATCAAATATCACTTAAAATTCTTAATCGCCTACAGTAATGGGTCCAGTAAATTAAGTATTCTTAAAATTATGTAATTTCAAAGATGTTTCTTTTTTCTACTCCTTTTATTATGGTTTTGGAACATACCCACCGAATTCTATTTCTTATATGTCAATTGGAGTTTGTTATCGAAAATATGTTTGTTTAGTTGATAAAAAATCATACATTTCTCTAGCTGTCACCTAAGACTTCAAATGGATAACATACAATTTTATGAGTCTCCTTTAATTTTATGGTGAATATTTAGTTATCTTATTTCTCTTAAAGGAAACTACCTTACTCTTAACCACAGAGAATTGTGACAATCAATAAGGAAAATATGAGTTAATTCATTGTTAAAAAAACGATAATAAATATTGATATATAATTACTTTTTGATTCAGATCTGAATAGAGTGATAATCAATTATACTTCATTTTATTTTAGAATTGTACTTATATGTAATTAAGGTATCAGAAATCTATATTTGAAACATATTGAAAATCATTAGAAATATAATAATTTGTGAATGTTCTCAATATCATTGAAAGATATCAAATATAAAATAAGAATGATATCCTTTTTGATGTTCTTATAACAGATCAACTAAAAATATTGATTAAATATGTGAAGGAAAATATAGAACTAAAAAAATAGAGTAATTGTTATTTGAAATAAATTGATTGATGCATTATTATTACTAAAAATAATCTAATTATTAGGATATAAAATATTACATGATTATTATAATTTTGTTATAACAGGTAAAAGGAATAATAATTTGAATGTACAATAATAAAATTATAGTTTACATAATTGATGCATAAATATATTAATAATATTTATAATTGTTCATTATAATTGAATAAATAAAATAGATATTAAAAATATCAATTGAAATACATTAAATGAGTATTCAAATTAATCTTATTATTTAAATATATATATATATTATCTGAATTATTAATAAGAATATATATATTATATAATGGAAATTAATTAATGAAAGTAATATTGATTTGTTACTTATTATATATGTAATGAATAGAAAACAAATTAATAAATTGAATTATATTTATTAATATTATGAATATAAAACACAATGATGCTTCAAGTTAAAACTCCTTATGTTTTGGATGATGCTACAGGTTATTATTGTTATTGTTGATTTTATTATGGTCTCAAATTGTTAGCTAATTCAAAATCTAGTAATTCTTTTTCTCTAAAATAATCTCAATATAATCTGCATACTTTTATTTCATAGCAGTGTTGTAATTTTATCCTGTCTTTTCAAGTAATTCTAAACTTTCCTTTAAAGATTTCAAAACATCTTCTAATTATCTTTCAACAAGAACTCCACCAATCAATCTCCAACATCTATAATAGATAGTATAATTCACCTTCTCTTTGGATCAATATTTTTAACTGCATCCAAAACTAATGTATGCTCCTTTCTTTCATCTTCAATATCAAGATAGACTCTGAATATTTCAGCATAATCCTGTCTCATTTTGTTGTATTATACAACTTATTAATTAGTCAAATTCTTCAACATCTCTTACTATTATTGCTATTGCATTAAATCAATAATTAAAATTTTTAATGACTTACATATTAATATTGAATTATAATATTGATAACAATAAAATAATAATGAAAATATATGCATTGAATATATGATTTAATGTCATCTTAATCTGAAGAATTTCCAAATAGTACCTTCTTCGAATTCAGATGTGAAATCGTATTTGGTTAATCTTTGTTCCTTTCTTCTCCATTATAATCCATTGTCCACAAATCCCTAAATCATTAATAGGAATGTACAGTAAGTCTATTGTTACTATTCATGCAAGCAAATAATGCTCCTGCCATCATAATTGAATTCCAAGCAATTGAGAATCCTCTCTATCTAATATATTCAGTAGTTGTTAATCCTAAAGTGGCTCTTCTTGCAGCAAAGAATCCTAAAAATGCCACTGTTGCAAATAGACCAAAATCTGCTTTGTTCAAATTTCTCAATACCTTTTCCAATATATGATATAAATTTACATCTCCAACTGTAGGTTTACTAATGATTACTGGATAAGGTGGTCTTTCACCAACATTATAGAGTACCTATAATCTTCTAATCTTTAATAGATTCAGCCATCCCAAAAATGAATCATGTTCAAATGTTCCCCTATATGTTGACATAAATTAAAATATATATTATATTAATCATTCATCATCTTTGAACTTTTCTCTAATCATTTCAACTTACAAAATAGTTTTATCATCATTTTTCAATTAATCTTTTAAGAATCTACAAGTAGCTATCCAATGAATCTAAATAACATATAAATAAATACTGTTGATAAAGCTCCTCTAATAGCTCCTGCAATCATATTTGAATAATTGAGTCCTTATAAATGTTCTGGTAATTCAACAAAATCATTTAAAGGATTCTCAATGAAATGCAAATTAAAAGTGAATATCTTATCAGTCTCAGGTAATATTTCCACTTCAGCTGTCACTCCAAGAAACATTTACATAGCTCCCTATCTTAAAAATAAATACAAACCTTGCCTATATTTTCTGCAACATCAATTTTATCTCTGCATTATTTAATTTCTGCTTTTGAAAGGTATTCATCAATAATTCTTTATCCAATATTATAACCCATTTTTTCCAATTATTCATTTGCTTCAATAACAGTATCACTATCCTTAATAATTTGTGAAACTATGGCACCATAAGTTAAAGTCAATAATTCAGAATTCACTTTTTCAATTCTATTCACTACTACTTTATTTGATTTTCTAATCTGCATATAATTAATAATTATAATATTAAGAATATCTCTTATAAATATTGTTTATTTAATTTATAATATTAATCTCATTCATAAATAAATATACACATATATTTCAATAATTTTAGATTATAAAAATTACAATTATATAGATATTATATTAATAATTCTATCTTTCATTACCTTATCTTGTATTATTAAGAATATCATCATTTTTATTATTTTTTATTATATCATATTTAATTTAACTAAAATCTTGTTTCTTTTTATGTTTTAGATAATATATTTATTTATTTTATGAATAAAAATAGTATTATTTTAGGGAGCACATCTTATTAAAAAGGTTTGGCAATTTCATCATAGATCCGATCAGAAATAAAAGGTTTTCAAAAGGTTTAAAAAATCGAAAATTAAACTAATGAAACTTTAAAAATTGATGAATCATGGTTTAATCTTATGTTCAAAAGATCATAAAATTGCACATCTATGAAGGGTAATCTACAAAAGAAAAGTCCTCATTTTCTTATTGGATATTAATAAAAATATTGTGAATTGGAAAATAGAGTTTTTTCTTATTATAAATCTGATAATAAATTAGAATTAGAGGGATCCTTAGACTTTGATTTATAAGCATATGAATTCAGACAAATACAAAATGAGAGACATCAAACAATACAGTTTACGTATCATAAACAAAATCATTTAGTTTAATACCTAAAGGTACTTAAAAAGAATTTGTTTTTTAAGCTACCTAACCAGAAACTACTCATCTTTGGGCTTTATAAATACAGATTCATTTAAATGACTCTATTGGAAATTAAAAATAATTGAATTTCTTAATTCAAATACCTAGATTTTGGAAAAACTCTTAAATTAAAAATTCTAAAGTCTTAAGTGATTGTTAAGATGGTGATATAGCATTATTTAAATCTAAAAATAATACGACAAAAGTTTTAAGAGCAATAACAATGTGTGAATATGATCATGTTTGTATGCTCTACAGAGATAATGGATATTTGTTTGTATTTGAAGCAGTATAAACAGGAGTTGGTACATTTCCATGGAGTAAATAAAATATTAATATTTAAAGGTGATTTAGTTGAGAAGGACTATTTAGAATATTATGAAAAGATATGTATAAGAAAATTAAATTATACAAAAAAGAATACACCAGATGTATAATAAAAATTAAAACAATTTATCTTAAATAATTTAGGAAATGAATATGGTCTTACTCCTTCAAAACTCCTTAAGACTATATCATAAATTGTTCCTCAATAAAGTCAAGTAGAGGAAAAAAAAAGAACTTATTTTTGTTCAGAACTTGTTGCAAAAGCATATAAAGAAATGGGACTACTTGATTAAATGAAATCATCTACATAATATTATCCAAGTGATTTTACTTAAGAGAAAAAATTATAATTATTAGATGGAGCAACATTAGATCCTGAAATGTTAGTAGTTTTTGAACATTGATCATTTTAATAGATCAAATTTTAATAATAATAATATAATATATTATAATGTAATACATCTAATCACCAATCATCATCTTCTTCATCTTTTTCATCTATCTTTTATTGAATTTATTATTATTATTATTATTATTATATTTATTATTTCTATTTATTCGATTTATTTGTATTAATGCTGACTAATTTTGTATTTGGATCTACTTTTAAATTAGGACTAATAAATTCTTATTCATCTGAATGAGCATATATTGTCTCTTCAATTAGTATTTAACCACCAACTTAACAACTTGAAGGACAACTGTAAATATATAATGCTCCCCATTCTAAGTTATACAATTCAGGAAAGTAAGTAAGAATAGAATTATTAATTTAGAATTCGAATATCTTATTCTTTTTGCAATGTGGACATTTTGAATCAATTTATGGTTGTTTTTTATCACTAAACCATAATGGTTTACTTTAAGAATCAAAACAATATCTCACAATATGATTTGGATATTATGTTAGAAAACTAAATTATATGTTTTTACAAATACTGTTAATAAATAAGAAAACAACCATCAATATTATTTTGTTGATCTTACTCTAAACCATCTAGTTCATTAATATCTTCTTTTTCTTCTGTACTCTTTAAATAGTTTTCATATATTTTATTTTCATTATCAAATTTAACATTCTTTAAATCTACATCTTTATCTTCATCATCAAAATTAGTTGGTAATAATTCTTCAGCTACTTAAAGTTCATTGTTATTCTCTTTAGCACTTATAATCTCAGTATCAATTATAAATGATTTATTTTATGGAGAAAGTATATACTCTTTATTTTTAGATTACAAAAGTTAAGGTTTTTATTATGATTACATTCTAAAAACTCTAACACTACTATTATTTTTAGAACATTATTCATTTAAGCAAAGAAATACATAAATTTCTCTAAAAGAAGCATGTTTCTTATTTAATGGAGCATATATCTTAAAAGTATAATTAGAATAATACTTAAAGTAACATTTTCATTTGATTTCCGCATTATTAACATTTAATTGGTTCAAACTTATCTTCATTCTCTAAAAAATACTAAAATTTAATTAATATTTTCTACAGGTAATCCATTTGCATAAGAAGGTAATTCATCATCTATATTAAGGATATCATCTGTTTATTCTAAATATCCAATTACAATTTCTTCCTTATTATTCATTAATTAAAGAATTAATTTTAATGCAATTAGAATTACTTTCAATCACAAATATTTGATTTTAAATATAAATATACTTTGTATAGAATATAAAAAATAAAGTGTTCAAACTTTTTGATATTCTAGTTTTGATTCTAATTTTTTGGCTTCTTTAATCTTCCTACCTGCTTTGAAATAATCTTCCTCAATTACATAATCTCTATCTGCTCTAATAGCAAACATACCTAAATATAATTTATTATTAGTATACCAGCTTCAGTACATACATTTCTTAGATCAGCTCCATTAAATTCTTCACATAATTTTGATAACTATTCAAAATCTACTTCTCCTTTAGTTGTAATCATTCTTGAATGAATTTTTAATATATCATATCTAGCTTATTCATTAGGTAATGGTATTTCAACCTCTAATAAATTTAAATAGAATTTTACTTCTATCCAATCTTCCTGGTCTTAACAAAGCTGGATCCAAAATATCTGGTCTATTAGTTGCCATTACTACTTTAACTTTTCCCAAATCATCAAAACCATCTAATTGATTTAATAATTCCATAAGAGTTCTTTAAATTTCTCTATCTGCTGAAGTTCCATCACTAAATCTTCTTCCTCCAATAGCATCAATTTCATCCATGAATATTATACAAGGTTAATTTTCTTTAGCATAAGTAAACATTTCTCTTATAACTCTAGCACTTTCTCCAATGTACTTATCAACTATACTAGATGCTACTATTTTTAAGAACTTCGCCTAAACATTACAAGCCAATGCTCTATCAATAATCTCAAATTATATTATACCTTGCAATCAAAGTTTTACCTGTTCCTGGAGGACCATACATTAAACAACCTTTTGGAGGTTTCACTCCAACTCTTTTAAATAGTTCTGGATTAGTGATAGGTAACTCAATTGTCTATAATCCTATAACAATAAGAAATATCACTTCTCTTAAGATTCTTAACTAATCATTTAATCCTCCAATCTCATCAAATAACACCTTTCCTGGATCTTCATGTGCCATATGAAATACCTAAGGATCAACCTCTCTAGGCATTATTCTACAAATAGTATATGTATCTTAATCAAGTGCAATTCTTGTTCCTATTACTAATTTTGTCCTATCTAGGTTAGGTTTAGCACCAACTACATATCTTTATCCACTATTCAATTTTGCAATATCTATGATAAATAGATTATTTTTCTATATACATTTTTCATCATTTATCTTCATTAAGATTTCTCCTACTGATTAACCCCTTATATTCAAACTCTTAATGTTATCTTCAAATCTCTCAAGCTCTTCCTTTTTTTTTCTTGTTTATACTCTACCTTATTAATTTAATATTAGATTATTTACTTTCCTTTACTTANCTTTGTATAGAATATAAAAAATAAAGTGTTCAAACTTTTTGATATTCTAGTTTTGATTCTAATTTTTTGGCTTCTTTAATCTTCCTACCTGCTTTGAAATAATCTTCCTCAATTACATAATCTCTATCTGCTCTAATAGCAAACATACCTAAATATAATTTATTATTAGTATACCAGCTTCAGTACATACATTTCTTAGATCAGCTCCATTAAATTCTTCACATAATTTTGATAACTATTCAAAATCTACTTCTCCTTTAGTTGTAATCATTCTTGAATGAATTTTTAATATATCATATCTAGCTTATTCATTAGGTAATGGTATTTCAACCTCTAATAAATTTAAATAGAATTTTACTTCTATCCAATCTTCCTGGTCTTAACAAAGCTGGATCCAAAATATCTGGTCTATTAGTTGCCATTACTACTTTAACTTTTCCCAAATCATCAAAACCATCTAATTGATTTAATAATTCCATAAGAGTTCTTTAAATTTCTCTATCTGCTGAAGTTCCATCACTAAATCTTCTTCCTCCAATAGCATCAATTTCATCCATGAATATTATACAAGGTTAATTTTCTTTAGCATAAGTAAACATTTCTCTTATAACTCTAGCACTTTCTCCAATGTACTTATCAACTATACTAGATGCTACTATTTTTAAGAACTTCGCCTAAACATTACAAGCCAATGCTCTATCAATAATCTCAAATTATATTATACCTTGCAATCAAAGTTTTACCTGTTCCTGGAGGACCATACATTAAACAACCTTTTGGAGGTTTCACTCCAACTCTTTTAAATAGTTCTGGATTAGTGATAGGTAACTCAATTGTCTATAATCCTATAACAATAAGAAATATCACTTCTCTTAAGATTCTTAACTAATCATTTAATCCTCCAATCTCATCAAATAACACCTTTCCTGGATCTTCATGTGCCATATGAAATACCTAAGGATCAACCTCTCTAGGCATTATTCTACAAATAGTATATGTATCTTAATCAAGTGCAATTCTTGTTCCTATTACTAATTTTGTCCTATCTAGGTTAGGTTTAGCACCAACTACATATCTTTATCCACTATTCAATTTTGCAATATCTATGATAAATAGATTATTTTTCTATATACATTTTTCATCATTTATCTTCATTAAGATTTCTCCTACTGATTAACCCCTTATATTCAAACTCTTAATGTTATCTTCAAATCTCTCAAGCTCTTCCTTTTTTTTTCTTGTTTATACTCTACCTTATTAATTTAATATTAGATTATTTACTTTCCTTTACTTATTTTTCTCTTTCTTCTGTTTCCTTCAATAACTTAATATATTTCATTTCTAAATTTGATCTTTAATTTGTCAATTCCATTTAATTATTTCAATTTTATATTTATTAGATAAGGATTATCAACTATAATGAAATAATTAGAACAATTTGCCAATACTTTTTATAGTCTCCTCTAAGCTTAACCTCAAAAACTAAGTAATTTTAGAGTTAAGCTTAAATTTATATTATCCCAACTTAAATACTAATATTCTGATATTTTAGAAGAACAACAGAAGCTAGTTAAAAAAAATTCAAATGATTCTAACATCCTTCAAAGTCTTATTTCAAATTTACAGTAAACTGATAAAAGTCATCATTAAATTGAGTAAAATGAACTCATATTTTGTAATAAGCTCTAAGATGTATTAAAAAAGTTCAAAAAACCATATATAGAGAATTTAAAAGATATAGCCTAATAAGTCTTAATATCTGACCTTAATCAACTATAAGAAATGTCTAAAATTATTCATTCTATATCTCCACTACATGAGATACTCTTATAATTAAGAAATTATATTAGTTAAGAAAATACCTATTATGAGGATAAAGCACTATTAAAATGTCCCTTAACAACTATTCATGCTATTAATAAAGAAACAGCTGCTTAATTAATTAAAGGAGATCAGAATTTAATATCAATTCTAGAAAACTAAGGGTATTAAATCAAAAGATTAAAAAATAATGAAGAAATTTTTTACTATTAAAGATATCTAGTATCATATGTATTAAGATCATTGATCTTCCAATTATAACTTCCTCCTGGATTTGTAATGAGAGTGTCGACTTATGAATAAAAAAACAAGGAGTTGAAAAAATAGTATTCATATTTCTTCATTACCGAAAAAGTCGCCTAATCAGATTTAGTCATTAATAAGATTGAGTTTGCAAAACATTATTTATCTTTATAATGTACTGATCATTTAGACAGCCTTATTCCATAATACTATGGAAATCTACAAGCCTCTTTCTAGAAAGATATACCTCAATAATAAACTATGTATGAATAATTTAAAAATCCACTCTTGTATTATAAAAAAAATATTTTTGAAGTAACATATAGTCCATAAGAATTTGAAGATTTTAAACCATAAAATATATATGAAAACTTTTTGAATTTCTTATCATTTCTATCAGACTCTTAATTGAATGATTTTCATTATAAGTAGGAAGAAAAGAATGAAATAATTAGATACAAATCACTTTAAATAACTTAGGATATGTTATAATTGACATATTAAAGAATTAAAAAATTAGAAGATACATTAATAACAGTTCAAGAAGTAATATTTCCTTAGTAATTGTGTGTTAGATTAATTTAAATAACTGAAAAATTAAATTAAGTTTTCTTTTAATTTTAAAGATTAGATACTAGTAGATTTTAAACATTAAATGAATATTAAGAATATTTGAGTAAAATAAATTTAGAAGAATTAATTCATAAAATAATTGATTAAAAAAATATAACCAAATATAATAATTAAATAAGATAAATTAAATAAGATCTAAATCAATTAGAATAGTAGCATGAAAAAACATAAGGGAAATAAACTTAAAATTCTAATTTATTATCTTAATATTATTTGTAAGGACCAAAATATATTATTATAAATTGTTGTTAAAAAATAGATATCCAATATGAAATTAGTTTAACTAATAGAATTAAACTTTTAGATTTTTTGGCAAATTTAAATTTCTATTTAGACACTTAATTTGTTAGTTAATAAGAGTATATTTATGATTCAATTATAAAAGGATTTAATGATTCTTGGTTTGAATTAGATTTATGGAAATAGGCATTTAAAGCAAATTATTCAATTTAATCATAATGCTAATTTAATAATACTCTTTTTGTTGAATTATTGGCTATATTATTTTTTAAAGAAAATTATACAAAATTAAATTTGAATATATTTGAATCATTAGAATAAGTATAGGAAAATGAAAAAAATTCTCATATTTTAATTTCATATTTAATGAATAAATCATTTAAAGGAGATTTAGGATTTGGAAAACATATTACATTAGTGGAGAGTGCTTTGAAACATAAAAAATTTTATTTATTATTAAAATTATTAGAAAATAATTAAGGATAAAAGATTAGATTTGAATATTTTAATTATCTTTTAGATGAAACTTAAAATTTATTTTCTTAATCTGCATATTTTTCAAATTTATCAGAAAATGATACAAAATATCATGAATAAATATTTGATTAAATAGCTAAGATTCATCCATAATTAGAAGGAAGATTGAGATGGGATCATTTTTGGAATCAAATAGTTAAAAATTTTGGAGAACATACTTTAAAAATATTAGGTCGTGGATTTTGGAGTTTAAAGGATGAATAATATAAATAAATATTTATTAACAAACAATTAGGAAATTAAGGAGAAATTCCTAGTTATTTAGAATTGAGTTTAATTGCATAGATTAATAAGAATAATAATAAGAATTACTCAGTTCTTAAAGTTAATGATCCATTCATTAATTAATTATTATTTATTCAACCTAATTTTCCTTTATAAAAGTTTATGGCCTCTTAATTATATCAATTATTATAATTAGATTAATTTAGTTCAAGAGTTGAATTAATTTAAAGTGAATAATAAATTTATTCAGTTTATTAAGTAATTAATCAATTCAATAACAATTAAAGATCAAAAGTAACAATAGCTCAATTTTTGTAACATAATGAATATAATGAATAAAGATTAAGAAATAAAATAGGTAATTATAATTTAGCTAATAAAATTGTACTTTGTATATTATTATTATCAACAAACACATCTCCAGATGAAGAATTACTAGTTCCATGTGGTAATTATTTATCACCAGTTTCTACAAATTTCTATTTCAATCCTCAATATGATAATTTTATAAATTCTCATGGATTTGAAAGAGATGGTGAGAATGTTAAATTATGTTGTCATAATATCTATTTCTTAATGTAATTTATGAAAGAAAAAATAGATTATTAACTCTTACAAAATTTTTAGAATATTACATTAACTATTTAATAATGGCTTAAATAATTAAGTTAAATTGAGGCTACTGCATCATAATCTGAGGGATTATTATTATTACCATTATATAAAGAAAATATGATTGAATTAGTTAGGAGAGCAACAATAATTTAAAATTTAATAACAAAACCTAACTTTCACATTACATATTTAGATTTATTAAAATTATGTGATAAGAATTTAGGAGAATTTTATTAAATTTTAATAGAAAATCATACTCTTAATTTAATAAATAAATTTGTTGAATTAAAACATCTTTCTACTAATTCTGATAGTCTAATATTATCTGATTTCATAACTTTTAGAGAGAGCTTTGCTTATATGAAATATCCATCTGGATTTGATGTTAAAAATATGATTGGTCCATATAAAGGATTAAAAATGTTTCTTAAATATTCAAGATTACTATCAACAACTACTTTATAGAATTTCCACAAAAAACTTGCTGTTATTAAAAAATAATAACATTTTTAAATGTTAATGAAAAGTTTTGAATGGAGAAATTTTAAAGAAAATGAAATTTAATAAGCATTTTCTTAATTATCAGAATATTCAAAAGATTTTAATAAACCTTTTGAATTAGTAAATTTTAAGGATTTATAATCTAAATAATTTCCATAATTATTTTAATCATTGCAATTAATTAGAATTAAAATTCTAAATTTATCTTATGTTGATGCTGTAAATGATAATTTTCTATTTGATATAGCATAACATTGTACAGAATTACATGTTTTAAATTTAAGTGGTTGTTAGAATGTACATTATATAGGTTAAACTACAAATATATTAAATATTGGAAATTAAAAACCACTTCAATTCTAAAGATTAAAAACATTAATTGCTTAGAATTTACCAAATGTTAAAGCTATTGAAATTAGTGGATAATTTTTATAAAATTTAAATGTCAATTATTGCAAGAATCTTTAAACAGTATATACAAATAAAATAAAATTAACAAGAGTTTAAGCAAAAGGTTGTGGATAATTACAATTAGAAATAATATAACTTTGGATAATTTAAGGAGTGAGAATTCTATTTGATGAACATACATCTTAAGGTTCTTTGAAAGGTTTTGTATAGCCATAAATTATAATAGATGTAGATAAGGAATTTAATTATGATAAAATATATTTAGAAATTATATTTTAATTGTTGAGTGACTTGTATGATAAAATATTACATTAGGATTAATATATCAAATCTCCATTTCCATAATTTTTTTTGAAAAATGGTTTTATAAGTGATGATTTTGAATTTTAATTTAGAGGATTTTTATAAAATAAATTTGATGAATAAAATAAAAAAAAAATATTATAATGTTTATTCATTTGTTTATTTTAGAATGAATAAATTAAATAACTTGATTTAAAATCTATGTTAAAGAATAGAAGTTAAGAAAGAATAAAAATGTTAGATTAATTCTTAAATGATTTTGTTTAAGCAGTTCATTTAACAATAGAAGAATAGGATTAGAAAATTAAATAAACTGCTTAGTAATTCTTTTTAAATGTTGAATCACTTACAATTCCATGTTCAAAAGAAGAAATTATAGAAAAAATAGCATAATTAATTAGATAAATTTAAAATTATAGAACTACTTTGAATATAAGTTTTACTAATTTGAAAGTAATAGGAAATGATATAATTGGTAAATTCTTTTAAAAAATCTAAAGAAATGATAAACCAATACATATATAATAAATTGATTTTTCAGGGAATAGTTTAGAAAGAGAGAATTTAAAGAATATATTTTAAGTTAATAATATTATATAAGTTAATATTTAATAATTAATATTAAGAAATGCAGGTATTGATGATAATATTTTATTGGAAATAGCAGAATATTTTTGGGAATGTGAGAATTTAAAATTAATAGATTTGAGTCAAAATTAATTGACTAAAAAAAGTTTAAATAAATTATTTGAAGATGGAAGAAACTTAGCCAAAATTCCTCTTAATAATATCAATCTTAGTGGAAATAAGATAGGAGATGCAAATTTTCATATTCTAGCTGAAATTGAAGAGAAATAATGGTAGAATAAAGAATAGAATATGTTATATCTAAAAAGTACAATCTTAAAGAATTGTTTTGATGAGACTTAAGATATTTAATATTTTTGTGATTTTGTTGCTTAAAGTTATATGTTATAAATTTTAGATTTAAGAAAAAATAGTTTTAATGAATAAGGAATGGAATTACTTTCAAAATCAATTGGAAAAAGTAAATCTTTAACTACATTGTACTTTTAAAATAATGCAAAATCTAGTAAAGCTATATTAGTTTAAGAAATAATGAAAAATACTCATCTTAATAGTTTAGAGATTATTTTATAACATGAAGAACATTATAATGAAGAATTTTTAAAGATTTTTAATTATTCTTCTTTAAAGACATTAGAATTAACATTACCTACTATAACTGAAGAATAAATGAAATAATTAGTTGAACTACTTAAATCTAATATTTCTTTAGTTAAATTTAGACTTAATATTAATAATAATGATATTAAATAAAGAACTTTTTACAAACTTGGATTATCAAAAATAAAAAATATTATGGAAATTAAAGAATAATGTAATTAAGATATATATTTTAATGATCCATTTTATAGATAAGATACATTGAGAATAGATGTATAAGATTATTGTTAAATGGGTTTATCAATTGATGGAGGAGGTATAAGAGGTTTGATGCCAGCAACAATAATAAATTATATATGTAATGAAATTAAAAAAGAACCTTATTAAATTTTTGATTGTGTTGGTGGAACTTCTATTGGAGGTATATTGGCCTTGGCGATGACAGGTACTTAAGATGGAGTTCATCCATTAGCAGACAAAGATTAACTTGTTAAATTCTTTACTGAAGATGGCAAGATCATATTTGATCAATAGAAAAGAGGTGTTTGGAGTTTAATTAATAAATCAAAATATGATGCCAAAGGTATTGAATCAGTATTGTAAAGGTATTTAATATAAATCATTAGAATTTTAGATATGCAGGAACTGCAAAATTGAGTGAGACTCTTCCTCATACAAATGTAATTGTAACTGCTGTAAAACTATAAAAACATAAAGGAGACAATATGGCTAAAGTTTTTAGTTCAAGAAAAGCTAAATTAGATTTGACAGAAAACTTTCTTATAAAAGATGTTGGTAGAGCTACATCTGCAGCTCCTACATATTTTCCAGCTGCTTAAATTAAATCTTTAGCTGGTAAAGAATATTAATTTATTGATGGGGGTGTTGGTAAGAATAATCCTGCAAATTTGGTATTAGATGATTTAAGAAAAGGTATGCTTAATAAGGATAAAGATAATTTCTTTGTTCTCAGTATATCAACTGGAGTAATTATTTTTAAATTTTAATCTAGGTATCAAAATAAAAGTAACATCTATAAATTGATGAAGGTATAATGGGAGTAGTAAGAATTTTAGATGCATTTGGAGAAAGTAATTAAGATTTTGTGGATTTAGAATTGAAGAAAAATTAAGGAAAATATCTACGTATTGTTCCAGAATACAATTTACCAGGTAAGATTGCCAAATAATTATGATAGAAAGTTAGGCTTAATTAGATTGTACTGATATTAAAATATTGGAAGAATATTAATCTGCTGCAACAACAGCTGCCTCTCAATTTTTGGAATAAGAAAAATTTGGATAATACCAAGATAAAACATTTATAAGATGGTTAGAAGAAAATACAGCAAGAAGATTAGAATCATTATGATATATAATTATATATAATAAAAAGTGTCATATTTCCTATTTTCATATATTCTTTTAATCTCTTATTTTAAGTCTTATATATTCTATAAAATATAACCAGTCATATATTTCATAGGCTATTTAAGATTCTGATTATCTTTAAGAATAATAAGGATTTTAATAATAATTTTAATACATTATAAATGAATAAGGATATAATAAGAATTCATAAAATAAATGAATAAAAATTAATTAATTATCAATATATTGTTTTGCAGTTGTATCCTTATCTTTTTTTATATTCTTACAGTAATTTTTTAGTTAAAGTGTCATTTAAACTATGTTTTTATTAATATTATTATAATAGCTTTTTAATTTATTGTTAATTATCTTAATAATCTCCACTTTATTTCTAATAATTACCCATATCCATACTTAGATCTTTTTAAAACTATGATAAATAATATAATTTACAGAATGATGTGATTCTTCGATTTATTCAGCGCATGAAAAAGGTCTAGGAATTTGACTAACTTCAGTAGGTTATTTACGAAAACTATGAACAGAATTGTTTGATCTATTAGGTTCAGCATGTTAAGAAGTTGATGGTTTTTTAATACCTTTATTTTAATTAGTTTAAACTTTATCTTAACATGCTTTTACTGATTACTAACGTTTAAGTTCTTAATCTTCTGTTATAATGATATTTATTACTTATCAGATTTAATACATTTTAAGCTGTCTTATTTCTCTAATGTTTAGTAACATTTGATGTTTCATAATGAGATGAATTATGTTTTCTTTTTCTATCTTAATATTCACATGATTCTGTTTGTGTTCTTATAGCTAAATAACTAGATTTATTATTTTAAGTATTTGCAACATGAGTAGAAATAATTCTTTTATGAGAATCATTTCTAGGTTTAAAATAATCATCTTATGGATCTGTTTATAGTCTATCTTACTATTAAATTATATATAAATATAAATTATACATAATCTTATAGAGGAGGTTTTTATTTATCTACTTATAAATTGATTGTAATAGATTATTATTTAGGATATTCATTTTCTATATTGTCTTTTTTATTAAAAGGTTTTTGATTATTTTAGGTAGATTTAAGAGATTGATTTGTAGTTTCAATTGTACTATTATTTTTAATTATTTATATTTCTTTTTCTTATTATCTTAGTTTTTGATTCAAAGTATTATTTTTATCATATAATACTTAAAAATCACTTTTTATTCCTTATAATTCTTCTTCTAATTCTTCTTTTATTTTTAAAGCATCTTCTAATTTTGATTGAGTATTTTCTGCAAATAATTTCAATTATTATTCAATCTAATTTAATTAATTTAAATACTCTTATATGTTATCTTATTTCTGCTTCCAATTTAATTAATTACTCTTCATAATCACTTTAATCTCTAGTTTTTTGTTCTTCTACTTATTATTCTAAATTTAACTAATAATATTTAAAAAATACTTTATCTTGCATTAGAACTGTAAAAATACATCCAATATAACAAATCAAACTATTTGGATCTGTATAAAGATCTTCTGACTTATCCAAAGGAACTAATTTTCTTATTTAACATAGTAGTAACTAATTTGGAAATAGGATTAATACATGATCTTCAGTTTTTAAGATATTGCTTTTAATTTATGAATAGAGATCAAGTATTGATTTTTATAATTTGAGATCAAACTTCTTTTCTGTATGTTCTGAACTATGTCTGTAATTAGACTCCAAGGATGTATTGATATCATCATGGAAATGTTATTGTTGCTAAAGTAATTGTAATAGTGTTTTTGATTTTTAAGACATTTTTAAATAAATAACTGATTGAATAGACAATTTAAAATATATATATTTTCTATATATATATATATACATTAAATGAAAAAATAGAGAAGTAATAAAAAAAACAAATCAAAAGATGCAACTTTATGTCATATCCACAGATTTCTGTATTTGCAAATCTGTCTTTATATCTGGAATAAATTCACTTTCTATTGTTGATAAGTCATCTAAACTAAAATTCTGAATTTGCTTTGAGTCTATTTGTAAAGTATGCTAAAAAATTACATAAATAATACCACTTATGAGGTTGAGTCAAGTTTATTCAAGTTTGGAAACTCAACAAATTAAGATGTTCCTAAAATATAAATGACAATCTATTACTAAATTCCATCAAACCATATGACATTTTGTGTTGAGGTTTTGGTGGTATTTGTTGATCAATTAAGATTTTCAATTAAAATTATCTTAAATGTCTTTTGTGTTGATTTTCAATCAATTTTAATCTCCATATTGGCATAATCTACTTCTCTTTCTTCTTTTCATCAAAGTTTAATTATTAATTTATCAAATAGAAACAACCTAACATATAGGTCTAGAGTAGAAATGACTTTTTTGGGAAAATTCTCCTTAAATCTTCTAATACATGAGGCATTATGAATTATTAATATTATTTATTATATAAAACATAATTTAAGATATGAAGACATTTTATAATAATACTAAATACAAATGGTGTATATTAATTATAAACAATCAAATTTTATAAGTTAAATTATAAACATTTTCTAATTCATTATTGTACATTTATCATCTTCTCCATATTCGACTTTGTTTAAAAAAGTAATTTAATCTGGGCTATTCAAAGACTCTTGTAAAATTATCAATGTAAGAAATAAGAAAATCTATTAAGCTTTTAAATTCTATTATAACAGATCTGATATTCATTTTAAGCAAATATAATTCAAAATATATATAATCTATTAAGAATTATTTATAGTTAACTTATTTTACAAATATTCCACTACTATTAAATGATTTTATCTGTTGAATATTGCTATAATATCAATCGATTAAATTATAATTCTTTATTCTTAATACATACATATAGTATATATTGATATTCACTATATAATTATTATTATTCTAAATTAAAATGTTACCTTATTTTAAATTGAATTTAGAGTAGAGAAATCAAATTTTGATGATTTAACAAGTGCTATTAAAATAGTCAAAAGATTTTTCAACAATATCAAGAGGATTCAATACATAAAAACATAATCATATATTTATTCAACTAAATAATAAATTATAGAAATTTAGAGAAGCAACTTTAAAATTTCTTTGCTTCTTTTATTATTGTATGAATTCATTAAAATTTTTATTTTAAACTTTTTCTTTATAGTATATTAGTTTGTTGTATTATTTTCATTTTAGTTGATTACACAGTAACCCTTAACTTAAATTTTTTGATAAATTCAGTATTTATTATTTAATTATATAGAAATATCTTAAAAATTTAGTTTAAAAAATTCTTTAATTCCATATTATATTAATAACTATGAATTAAAAAATTTTATAGATAATCTATAAACAGATATTGAGAAGATTGTCTTATTATTGGTCTGAAGATTTCATTAAATTTGGTTTTGAAATAGTCAATAATATATATATAATGAATCTTTGAGCATTAATGTTAAAAAAAAAGCAAAAATTCATGTAATTAAAGAATATACATAAAGATTAAGGTAATAATATATTTGAATATCAAAAATATTTGATTACTTTGTTAATTAAAAAATTTATATATGCTGAATACTTGAGAAAATCAAAACTTTAGTGTGTTTATTTTCTACTTAAATATCTAGCTATTTTATGATATATTCAATTATATTTGATTATCATATTAAAATATAACTTATGTTGAATGATTCTGGGGTTTATTTATGATAGTATTTAAATATAAAAGATTATTAAAAGACTATAAACAAATAGAAATGATCATCAAAAATTTTAATTTAATCAATTTATGTAAAAGAGTGTTGCGAATATTGAAAACATGAAAAAGTCTTTCAATCTTATTTTTTTACTTTAAGCTAACATGCTTTAGATAATACATTAAGCAAATATTAAAAGAGTTTGTTTGTTAGCTATAAATAATTTTGCTAATATTTATTCAAGAGTTGTCAACAAATACTCAATATAAGTGAGGATCAGCTAATTATACTCTAAAATTCACTTTGAGGCATATACTAATGTATGACAATATTAAAACATCTACAAACTCTTTATGCCTATACATTAAATTTAATTTAATGGATTGGAAATACAATTTAATATATTAAAATAAGAATTGTAATTAGATGATAATTAAAAGGAATTAATAATATTAATATTTTGATATTTCAAGAGAACATATACTTATAATCTTTAGATATGAAAGGAAGAATCAAATATAAAAATAAGATGAAGATTTATGGAAAAATAATTTGAGACAAATATTAGATTAAATTTTATATAACAGAATTGTTTAATGAATTTTGTTTAATAAATAAAGTCAAATTTTGGTATGATTCAGAGAAAGGAAATCATTGCAAAAAATAAAAAGAAGGTAGAGTCATAGAACTAACCATAACTAATCTTTAGTATTAAAAGAAGGTAAAATGATTAAGCTTTTGATAACATATGTATAATTATGTAATTGATTATTAATAGTTTTTTCTAATGAGGAAGAAATGTTAAATTTTTTGTATTCTCGAAAGTAAAAAAGGTTAAATTTAGATGAATTAGTGGGAAATCTTTCTTTAAATGAGAAGAATTAAGAAATGTAAAATTAATTGTCAACTCTTTAATTAGTGTGGGGTTATAAAGAATACCATTATAAAATATTGATTCTGACTAAAATTTTGATTAGAAAGAGACAGCTGAAAAAAGCTTAATTTACTTTAAAAGAGATAGATTTGTTACAAAGTTTAGAAAAGACTTTAGAGATTCTTTGTTATCTAATAATAGAAAAAAAGTATATATATATATAAATATTAAAGATAATAATACAATTAGAATAGAATAAGAATTAATTAACAAGTGTAAATGAAAAAGCAAATTATGAGTTTGAAGAAGACTATTATGTAATTTAAAAATTGGAGAAAGAGAAAGTATAATCTTAAATTACAATGAAAATTGATACTAAATAAATAGAAAAATAGATTGCAGAATAATAATTTGAAAGTGATACTGAGAAGAGTTTTGATAGTGAGGATTCTTAAAGAACTGATTATGATGATTATGATAGTTTAGATTAAGATTCATCATAATAAGATGGATTGGAAGAGGAGGAATATTCAAATAATAATAGTGATGATTCTATTGATTTGAAAAGATTTCAATAAAATTATATTTAATAAGATGAATTTGAAGTTGATGAAAAAGATGAAGGAAATTAAGGAGATTAAGGAGATTAAACTGAAATGTTTACAAGTTTTATAAGATAACATGAAAAAATTATCAAGGATAAATTTTATTGATTTTATTAATTAATTTTGATTTTGTATTTTTGTAAATACAATATATATTAATAATATATAAATGCATACATAAAATAATTTTATGTACAATACATAAGGTTATATGTATCCTTAATAATATATGTATCCACATCCACATCAACATCAACCTCCAAATTATGTTTTCCCATAATCAATACAACCTCCTTAATTTTATTATATGAATCCATAAAATCCAGCTATGTATTAATATAATATTGGATAATAATAATAACAATAACAATAATAAAGAATCAAATGTAATCAACCTAAAACAAAAGAATAAGAACTTAAATAATAAAAACAATAAGTAGTTAAATAACAATCAAATCAAAATATTTAATAGTAGATAGAAATGAAGAAAACAAACTTAAAGATTTTAACTGAATAATAAATTAAAGATTAAGTAGGATCTATTACAAAATAAGGATTTTGTCATTATTGTAATAAGAATGGAAAAATGTGTTATTATTGTTTTAGCAATTATAGATCAACAGATTGTAGACATGGATTTTGTTTTGATTGTTTGATGTTTAAATTTAAGGTATAAATTTACATTAAATTAAATAGATCAATCCAATAAAGATATTACTAAGACCAGATTGGAGTTGTCCTATTAAATGCAAATAATGTAATTGTAGTCGATGCACAAATTTAAATTAAATGGATTCAGATTAATTAATTTCTAATGATTCTGTTGAGAGTTGCAATAAATATGCTCATATTATAGAGAATACTAAAAAAATAAAGAAGTAATATTAAAAGAAGAAAAATATAATAAGAGAGATGTTTTAAGTAAAATTTTAGCAATTAGATCCAAAAAAGAAAAAATAATAATAGGTAAATCATTGGAATAAAGGTAGTCAATGAAGAAGACTCTATTACTTAATAAGATTAAAAAGTAGATGTAATTTTCATAGGAATGCATTTTGAAATTGAAATAAAAACATATCTAAAATGATGAATAAATATTACATTAAGTTGTAAGATATAACTTTGGTTCTTTGATTGATTTATTTAAGGAATATAAATCATCTTGATAATTTATATTAAAATATATTTAATCTTTTTATTATTACTATTATTGTATTCCTTAATAATATTTTTAGTATATTACTGTAATATAGTAAGGAAACATTTAGATATTAAAAAACATTATTTTATTTAATTTTTAATTAATCATATAAGATTTTAGCTAAGTTATTTATTATATCACTATTACATATTCATTAAAATTCTATTTACTTTTTGAATTTTGATATTGATTTATTTAGAATATATTATAATTTATATATTTTTATTTTTAAATTAATAGTGCTATTTTATTAATTTGCAGTATATATATTTTTTGGAACAAAGAATTCTGAATATTAATTAATTTAAATAAACTAGAAAAAAATAGATAAAAATGCCAAATACTTCTTTAGTTATTATCAATCATTAGAAAAGATCAGTTTAATTCAGTTAATAACATACTGTTCACATTGTAGAAAACTGGAAAGAATTCAATTACACTCCTAAAGAGATTAAAAATAAGGATAAATAATTGAAAGTGGAAAAAATAGTTATTAGAACTGATTTCGAAAATTATATGTTGGAGAAATATAACAAAATTAAATCTACATTAAAAGAATTAACCAATTCGTGCTCATTTATTTGAAAATTTTTTGACTTTTTTATATGTGTTTAGTAGTACTAATTTTATAATAATTTGAAAAACAAATAATTCTTCAGTTCTGAAAAATTTTAGTAAATATTTATGAAATCATTTTCATCTGATTTTGATAATTACTTAGTCATTAAGTCATAGATTGCTTAATTTTATAGATCCTTTTAGTTTGGAGATTTAAAGACTTTAATTGTCATTGATACTATTTTATTTTAAATTTTAATTTTGAATTAGTTAACAAATGAAAATTGAATAAATTATTTACAATAATTAGATTGTAGAATGTATTATTATTGATATGAAATAGAGTATAACATTAATATTATTTAATTATTTTTGAGAATCTATGTAAATTTAATAGTCCAATTTTTCAGATTGATTAAAATAAGGATTCAATTAAATTGGAGTAATTATATACATTCTTATTATCTATTCAATTATTATAATACTATAATAAGAATATTTGTTATAAATTATTTTAAATTAAATATATTATGTTATAAAAAGTGAATGAATAAAGTATATTTCATTAGTAAAACTATTCTAAATGAAATATTATGATTTAAGAGTGGTAATTAAAAATCTTATGAACTAATGATAAGTATATTATATTGTTTAAGATATATATTTACTAAAAATTGTAATAAATTTTATATTGCAATAAACATCCAAATATAATTTTCTTAATAGACATCTATTTATATTAATCATTCATTATTAAGAATTGATCACTTTTGTTTGAGATAATTTATTAAATTGAAAAGTAATATTATATTTAATTTAATTTAAAATTTCAAAATGAATTACATTATAGGAATGTCTGTCACATAGAAACATCAAATTTCTATATAAGAAAATCTAGCTTATGCAGCAGGTTCAATTGTTGTATATTACTCATACAAAGAAAATTAATAAGAGAAATATTTGATTGGAAAAGCATAAGTACATGCCATCCTTATATCAAGAGATGGTACACATGTATTCACAGGAGAGTAAGCAACTAAGAATCCTGCAGTTAATATATTTAAATTGACTGATGAACGCGAGATTAATATTAGTTAGTAATTGAAGGGACATAAATTTGGAATCACTTAAATAGTAGAATCACCAGCTAAACCTTATTTAGTGTCTTTAGGTTCTGAACCTGATAAAGGTTTATTTGTTTGGGATTGGAGTTAAGGTATTAAATTAACAGTGAATAAATTATCCAAACCTGTAAATACAATACGATTTAATGATAATGGAAGACTTTTAATAAGTGCAGGATAAGGACATTTGAAATATTGGTAATTTAAAAATGATGGAAGTATAATAGCATATGATAATATGATGGATCCAAAACCTTTTTTATTGAATGAACAATTCATGCATAAGAACTTTATTGATATTCATGTTACACAATATTCAGTTTTTGCATTAACATTTGATTCTTTAATAACTGTATTTTCTTTGTAAACTAAATAATTTGAAAAATGGATGGATCTTAAAGCTACTAATTCTTATTCATTAACTAGTCATTCAAATTATTTAATTACAGGTTGTTCTGATGCTATTATAAGAATATTTAATTTAAATATGTAACATATTGTAACACTCTCAAAACCTCCTAATCTTGGAAATTACAATATTGAAAAAGGAATTACAAAACTTAAAGTTTAAGGTGATTAATTTGCAGATTGTTTAGCAGTTTAAATCTATTAAAATTATTTAGTTGCTGCTTATAGTGATAGAACAATGTTTTTATGGGATATTGGTAATTTTGAAAAGATTGTTGTAAAACGTTCATTTCTTAATCATAGTGCTAGTATTAATGATCTATAAATAATGACTTAATAATCATCAATAGAAGCCACATTCTTTGTTACAGCCTCTTCTGATTAAACTTTAAGAGTGTGGCATATTTATGAATAATAACCTTTAGGATTAAGAAGAAATGCTTATTGTAAATATCTATCAAAAATAATTTATATTGGTGATTAATATTAACATTTTAAAGCAAATCAATAAGCATAATTATAAATTAGATGTGTAAGAGTTTCTAAAGATGGAAATTATCTTGCATGTGGAGATTCAGCTGGAATTTTAAGAATATTTTCTACTTAAACATTTACATTATATAAATAAATATAAGCTCATGATCAAGATATTATGACTTTAGATTTTTCAGAATATATAGATTTACTTGCTACTGGATCAAGAGATCGTATAATTAATATTTATGATGATTAATTCTAAAAAATAGGATCATTAGAAGAACATACAAGTTCAGTTACTTGTGTTAAATTTAGTAAGAATAAATTAATCAGTTGTGGATTAGATAAAGCAATTATTTTTAGAGAATTTAATGGATAAAAATTTAAAATATATCATCAAGAATAAATTTCTAAAATATATTCAATGGATGTAAGTTTTAATAATTTGTATATTTGTTTAGAAAAGAAAATATCAATCTATGATATTCCTACTGGTAAATTAAAATAATCTTTTGAAACAGATGCAAATTCTAAAATCTTACTTTATAGTAAAGATGATTAGAATTGTCTTCAAATTGCTACATATTCTGATAAAAATATAAAAATTTACAATAACAAATTTGAATTAATTTAAAAATTTTAGCATGATTAACTTACTTCAATGGGATTTGCTATGGATAATAAACATTTTATTACTGCTGGTCATGAAGGTTGTATAATTATTTGGAAATTAAATAAAGTATTTAAAAAGAAATAATTGGGTTTAATTGGAAAGAAATTGAAATAAGTATTTGCTTAATAAGATCTAAAGAGTTCAAAAGAATGGACTATTAATAGTTTATGGATTGAAGATGAATTAAGAGGTTTTCTTAATAATAATAAATAATAATAATAATAATAATAACAATAACAAAATTAAAAATAAGAAGAAGAACAAGTAGAATTGTTTAAATTTGAATCAGATAATGAAATGGATCCAAAATCATCTAAATAAATTGAAAATGCTCTATCTCCTTTAGGAAATTCATAATTCAATTATAAAGATCAAAAATTTGATAAAGATGATATAAAAACTATTTAAAATCAATTGTTAATTGTATAAAATAATCTTAATAAAGTTAATGAAAAATAATAAAATAAATATTAGATTCATAATAATTAAGAAACTATTTAAGAAGTAAATCAACTTGAAGAATAGAGTTAATTAAATTTCTTTTATGAGAAATCACAATATTAATAAACATCTAGAAGTCAAAGTGTTGATAGTCAAATATTAAAAAAAAGAACTAGAGAGGAAATTAAATAAGATAAATTAAAATAACTTAATAAAAAACATGATATGTTATAATAAAATTTGATTACTCAAGAAAGTTAAGTTGATTAAACTTAAAGAGATACAACAGGATTAGAAACAAAGATAATAGAATAAGATACATAAATAATAAATAGTTAATTACATTCTAATCTTAATTTTTATGCTGATTATTAATAACAATAAAATAAATAATTTATACCTACTGAAGCTAGTTTATAAATTAATAATGCTACTTAAACATAAGAACATATCAAATAAATAATTGGTCCCATTTCAAAGGATTCTATTAATTTGAATAATTCTTATGCCTATGATTAACATTATCATCAATAATTAGTTGATCCAACTTAATAATAAGTAATTATTTCTTTATCATATATAGATCTTTTAATAAACTAATTTGGCTAGATGTCATATTAGATAAATTCAAGTGGAATTGCTAGATTTAACAAACCTATTGAATTAAATAAAAGATTAATAGGTTAAAGAAAATGTATTAAGAGAAATAGATGATGATTTGAATAATTTATAAAAGTCTATATAATTAATTAGAAAATAAGAATAATAAGAACAATAAACAAATAGAATAATGGAACAATCATAAGCATAACTAAGTGAAGAAGATATAAGTATATATTTATTATTATTATTAATAGAAAAGATAGTAATAAATTGCAGTAAAGAAATGTTTGAAAACTACTCAAAAGTTTTATTTGAATAAATTAAAGGAAAGAATATATGAGTTTTTAATTAACAGAATTTTTTCAATAACAAAATACTTTTAAAATTTTATGTAAAACTTTAGCTTTTACTGGTTGTGGAGGATATCTTTCTCCATCTATACTTAATGGACAATTAGTTATTGGTTCAAATGTATATTCTTTTACTTTTTCATATTTCCAATTTCCTTTTGGTTTTACATTTCCTTATTCATCAATTTCAACATGACTACCATCATATTATTTTAATGACAATTTGACTAATTGTGACCAATCTCCATCTTCAAGATATTGTACATCAATCAATCCATCATCAATTTGAGCTGCAGGTGCTGATAAATAATTATCACTTATGTAAGGTATCTTTTATGCTAAAAAATATCTAAACATCATTTATTGATTATTATATTTTGCTTAATATTTCTTTTAAAATAATGCTCTCCATGTTCCATAAATATCAAATCTAGCTCCTCCCAAAAATCTTAATGATTCAGATCCTAAATCAACTTCAGAAATGAAGGCATAGGCTAAAGATAGAAAAGAAACAACTTTCTTTTAAGGCATTTCTAATAAAATAAGATCCATTTGTCTTGTCATTCCTTTTGCAATTAAAAGTGCACAACTTTCTGAATTGCATTCCAATTATGATAATTTAGTCAATGTTTTAGCAAATGCATTTCCACTCCCACCTGGTAATACTCCAATAGTAATAGATTAAGATATTTATTCCCAATCTGATCTTGCATATAAAGCATTTATAGCTTCATGTGGTAATCCATCTCCAGATACAAGTACTACTCCATAGACATTTGAAAGGTCTTCTTTTAATAAATACTCATGACAATGATTTTGATATTATGTCATTATGACTAGATATTTAACATTGAATTTATCAAGAATAGGTTTTGCTTTATTCCATTCTTTTAAAGCATGTCCTTTTCCACTAGCTGGATTGACAAAAATCAATAATTATTTTGAAATATCCATTTAATAAGTTTATAATTATCAATATTTCTCTAATAATTTATCATTTTGCCACATTCCTTATATATTTTCATTTTTTTTATAAAGTGTTCCAATACCATTTTTTTGATTCTTTTCAAAATTGCCAACAAAATAAGATTCATCTTCATAATATTCAATCCCAGCTCCATTTTTCAAACCATTTTTGAATTGTCCTTAATATGATAATTTGCCATCTTAATATAATTTTCCAAATCCATGATAAACATTATTGTACCATTATCCTTCATATTCGAGTTCATTTGTATAATAAGAACCAATTCCTTCCCTCTAATTTCCATTCATTTAACCTACATAACGATAATTCTATCCTCTTATAGTAATAGGTGTGTCAGATCTAAGTCTTGATAAAGAATGAGATGATGCATTTAGATTTTAAGTTTATGATTAGATTAGTTTATAATCGAATTCTCTAAGAAATAATTAATGTTAAAAAACCTTTTGGGAATTTTTTAAGGGGATTGTTGAGTAGCATTTCTATTTATATTTCTTGTAGGAAAAGCAGCCTATGGAAGTGATCGATCTTTTATAGATAAATCATACAATCAATATTGTTATTATATGGGATGGCATTCATTGATGATTCTATTATCAATAAAATTTATATGTAAATATATATATTATGAAATCAATTTTATTGATGAGTTTACATTCCAGCAATATCTTTGATCTTCTTCATGATTTGTGGATCAGTGTCATTATCCCATTAAGCCAATTATATTCTCTCTTACATTTTATCAAGAGTATCCTTAAATTAATGATATCAACATAATACTTTAAGCATTCTAGCAAATTCAGCTGACATTTCTTCAATTTTACGTTTCAATTCACTAATTTCATCATCCTTCTTCTTTAATCTATATTCATAATCTTTAACCATATCTTATATATATTGTTCCTTATTCTCTAAAATTGATTAAATTTAAAATTTACTAATTATTTCTTCTTTTTCTACATCAGTGGATCTTAAATCAGTAATTTATTTGAGTAATTCTTCTTACATTTATTTATATTATCTAGTCATATCAGATCTATATTATGATTAGATAATCCTAATACACAATGCAAAATAGTTTGTCTTTCTCTTTCTTCAGATCATTTTCCATTTCCATAACTCTAGCTCTAATTTCATTTTCTGCTGCTTTTGCTTTATCACCTCTTTCTTGTTCCTCAACTTATATTTAAATTTATAGTTCTACCTAATCTAGTCTAAAGTGCTCTGCATTTATGTTCTAGAACCATAACTTTTTCTTCTTCTTCTCTCTCTCCATCATCTCCTCCTTTTTTCTTATTTCCTTTTTTTGACATATTATTATTATTAATTAAATATATCTCATATAATTTTTATTATAACTGTTTCATGATCAATTGAGTAATACTCATTTTACTATTTATTTTGCATAATCAATCTAAATCTACTTAAATCATAGACTCCTTTCTCTGTAAAAACACCTTCTAAATTCACAACTTTAATCTCCTATGGCTTCAAAGTTATATGGTGTTACAGGAAACCTTCCCACAAAAAGAAAGGTTACTAAATGTCATTAATCGACCTTAATAATTAATTTTATTGTACTTTAAAGGTTCATCCCCATTAAAAAATTGTACAGTAAAACTTATAGGTTCTACATATTTAGTATTTTTGAAACTAATCTTTATTGGAACCATTGTAATCATACTTTGATGTTATACTTCGAATGGAGCTGATATCGAAAAAGATATAGGGAATTCTTTTATATCCCTATGTAAATAGTTTTATTATAAAACTGGTAATTCATGTAATCCAAAGATTATTTGATCTTCATATCTATATGTCCATCTTGCTATAATAAATAGAGGGAATTCTTCCATTCTTTAATTAGATAATTTTTAATAGAAAACATTGAAATAATGTTATATATCCAAATTTATAAAATCTAATGCAACATCTGCAGGAATACATTAATCACCTAAAACTATTTCATTAAAATTATCTCCATCCTTATAAAATCTTTCCTTTAATCTATTTTGATATTCTTCAAATCTATAATCTTTTGTCTATATTTTCTTCATTTTAAATGTAGTCAATAGATATGGATCACCACTTGATTGATATGGTATATCAAAGTATTACCAATTTTCATTCAAACATAGAATTCTATCAAATCTTAAATTACCTTTTCCTCCAAAATAATCTTAAACTTATAATGTAAATTTCCAATAGTCTACAATTAAATCTGTTTATAGTGATATTTTAAAACTAGGATCAACTTTCATTGGAATTTCTAATTTTTAAATTCTAATTCCACCACTTTAACCTTATTAATACTTAAATAATAATTAACCAACAAACTCTTCTTAAAAACTACATCTTAAATAAAATTGATATTCTAAAACTTAAAATGCTTTTAAAATAATCTTTTTAACTTCAAATCCAAAATGATATGGTATTATTGGAGTAATTTATATAACAATCTCTTCAGGATTTTTATTTGTAAATTTAAATAGAATAGGTCTTATTTCACCATATGCAATTATAGATTTTGTATAATATTCTATTTCAATTGGTATAAATTTAGGAAATACTCTAAACTTATTATAAAAATTAACACTCTTCTTTTTTGATTAATCTTTAGTATCATAATTAATTAATAATTATGCAGGAATATTAATAAAATTCCATTACAAACCTGTAATTATTAAATATCCTGCTTATGGAGGTGTTATAGAAACTTCTATATATTCTTATACTGCTCTTTAAAAAGAAATATCCTTTATTTCTAAAGTAGGTATTTTTGTAAGTACATATTCTTTTTCATTATTTGTATCCATATCTAATAGATTCTCTTTGAATGTGTAAAATTAATACATTACTTATAAACCATTTATGTAACTAGGTACTTTAAGAGGTAAATTTATGAAAAATCTTAAAGTTATTGTATCTTCAGCAAAACATTATCTTCCAAACTTATTAATCTTATCAACTAAATCTGTTAATTTGTCTATATTTAATATACAAGGTGTTTTATTGAAACATGCTATTCTTTCTTCTAAATAAAGAGAATCAAAACTTCTAATAGATGCATCTTCAAAAAATGATTCATTTTTAGAAACTGTATTCCATAAATTCTTGAATTTTTATTTGATATTTGTAAGTACTATTGAATCAAGTACATCTTAACCATGTGTTAATATATCTACAAATCCTTTTACAATAGGAATTTTAAGAGTAGTATTAGAATTAGTAAAATATTTTCTTCTGTAATCTTAAAGTTGCTCAATTGATGTATATGCTTTTTTCCAGTCTACAACTAATTGATTATGCAATTCTTATGGTTATCTTTCATTTATTTAATTGAATGCCAATTTAAATGAATCAATAGCTTCTTAAATTCTCTGATTCTCTAAACAATTAGCCCCTATATGACCTTCCAACCAAAATAATAATGGAACCCATTTAGATTATTAATATAATTATTCAACTATTTTAAAACATCTTAATGCATGTTTTTTGAAATTCTCAGATTCATATTTATTAGCTACTAAAGTTAAATTATGTGCAAATTTTCTGAATTCTGGAGGATCTAATCTTAAATGTATAAAAGCAATTTATTCATAGACTAATATTTAATATACAACAAAATAATCTTTTTTTGTAGTACTACCTAAATCTTTAAAATAACGATGAAATCTTTAAAGAAAATAGATTTATTCTTTATTATATTTTCCAAACATATGAATTGTAATAATATAAAAAAACATTATTCTTAACATATATGGAAAATGAATAATCTTATGATAACCAACTTATATTTCATCAAAAATATTCTTTAAATTATCTATTTTCTATTATGCTAATAAACGAGAATATAAATAATATTCAGTTGCATTTAATGTAGCAATAATAGTATTACTCTTATTATTTTTAAGTTCATTTATAAGTCCTTTATAATAAATGGCAGCACTTTCATAATCATTCATTAAATAATGATTGTCACCTAAGAATCTCAAAAGTTATTCTCTCTAAGTCATCTTATATTCAGTTTCAGTTGGTTAACCTGTTCTTGTATTGAATATACTTGTTAAAAATGTATCGAATGTTTTCTATTTCATTTCTTAATATAATTATGTCTATAAATTGATTTATCTTTCCAACATTACAATTGCTTATTATAATATGATTTCCTCAATAACTTGTCTATATATTTTAGTCCATTATTCATCCAATATTCCTAAAGGATATTTAGGAACTTCACCATCATAATTATATCTTTGATATGAAAATCTAGACCAATGAGTTTATTCAATAGGATTAGGTAGATTGTATTTAAGTGTATAAGCTCGAAATTTGATAAATTCTTTGAAGATTTAATCAAGAGATTCATATTATACTACCTCTTAAGCATCATTCAATATTATAATTTCTTTACTCACCATATCCAAATCATTAATATTATTTTTAAAAATCATCTTAATCAAACTATTTGAATCATTTCTTATTTTGTGTATTTCTTAAATTATATTTTTTTCTTATCCACTTACTACATAAAATAATACAATTGGATGATCCAAGAAATTATAATGATATTAGAATCCTAAACAATCACCAACTACTTATTACAATTACTAAAACCCAGTCATCTTATTTTATTCGCATATTTGATCTAAAATTTATTTACTACAATTTCTTGAAATTTAAACTTGATCCATAAATTGGGTATCCTCCAACAAAAGACGTGAATATTTATCTAACTTAACATTACCAATTTAATCATATTCCCTTAAATCTAACAATTTTATATTAAGCTCTTTTTCTTTCTCTCTTAAACCCAATTTCAATCTTTGTAATTTTCTTGGTAAAAAAGGTCTCAAAAATTCAGCTGGAGTTATTTGATATCTACTAAGAAGAGCTGCCTGTATGAAATCAGAAGAAATCACCATACCCTTATATTAATGACATGCTTGATTAAATAGTTCTAGTTATGTAATATTCATTTTTAATTAATTATGTTTTGTGCATCTATAGCTCTCTTTGGAACTATTTTTTTGGGTTTTCTTGGATATTTGGTTCAAATTCAAATGCCTTTTTTGAAGTTCAAAATGCTTGATAGACAAACAACATAAAATGCTTTATATACATCATCCATTGTAAAATTAACAATATAAATTTAGATCTATTTTGTGTTATTTCTTGTTATTTTATTGTATGACTGTTTCAAAACCAAACCTTATCCTCAATATAAAGTATATCAATAATGGAAATACGAAATATATTGAATACATAAACAATTTTTGTGCAAATATTGAAACAATAACAAATTAATTTATGGATTTCTTTCACTTATATACTTAGATTGTATATATCCATATTAAATTACTTTAAATAACTTTAAATATCAAACCTATTATAATATCATTTTCAAACAAAATCAAAATGTTTACTTTTTTTTCTTGAAATCATTATCCAATAATAAATAGAAAATCTATTATCGTATTGTTTAAAAGTTCTTAAATACTTATTAATCAAAAAAGATGATAATTGTTTTAAACAACTTTTATTTTTACATATATATCCAAAAATAAAATAATAATCAACTGAAATATTGAACTTAAAATAGAATAGGACCAACTACTATTCTCATACCATCATGTAATACATGACATTTGCTTGGTAAATACTATTCATATTATTATTCATTAGCAAGTAAAGCAAATGTTCCATATTGTGTTGGATCTAAATATTGGGATTCTTTTGGTTAAATTAACCACTAGTTGTTTTTAAATAAGATCTTACAATGTTCTCTTTACAAACTAGAATCAGGAATTACAATTGAACAATTCTAACCTGATCCTAACATATATTCCTACTCAGATTTCAGAAGGAATTCTTTACCTTTAAGTACTCCTTCTATAAATTCTATTACTAAAATAGGTAAATCTTCATTATAACTTAGTTACTTATATTTATCTCTATAATCTTAGACTGATTTATATAATTGTAGAGATTTAACTAAATCTGTAATGTTAGGATTTCTATTATCTTCATAAGTTGAGATTTAAGTAGTAATTTTAGGCATAGGTTAGATAAATTTAACTTTAAAATATGTATTTTGATTAAGTCTAATAATCATAAAGGCATCAAGTATAAGTTATTAATGTATACGTTAACTAGTTCGAAATGATCTTGAATTGTCTCTAATTAAAAATATATTATATGGAGTCCAAATTATCTTTAGATGAATAGGATTCACTTATCTATCATTAATTATTTAAAGATCACATTCTTTTTTATAACCAACAGTGAAAATTTCTTCTTATTTTAAAGGTATATTATTCTAAGTTGTTCTTGTTATTTAAATATCTTTAAAATATGTAGGACAACCATCTGCTATATATATAACTTTTAGATTAAGATGCCTTAAAGTTTATTTTGGTATTTAAAATGTTTATAAAGTGAACTAGTATTAAAATAAGTTTAATCTCTCTTTCTTTGATTTCCAATACTAAGACGAATATATTATTGTAATACAGTTTCATAGAATATTACATAATCTGTTCTTCTTATAATATTTCTATAATCTGGATCTATTTTACATTTAATAAAAAGCAACTAATCATTATCCATCTCAACTTCTTCTTATATTTTGACAAACTCTATAAATGAAGCACTAAATTCATCCCAACTTACTTCATTTTAATTATATAGAAACTTTTCCCAAAATAATAATTCCTAATCCATCTTAATAAGAATAAAATAATTTTATTTAAATTTGTAATTTTATAAACATTAAATATTTATAATTCATTATTATTTACTTTGTATCATTTTTTTCTTTTCTTATAATTTATTTTTCTTTTATTACTCCTCATCTTCTTTTCTTTTAATCATATCATATAATCTCTTATTTTTTCTACTCAACATAGTTTCAGCTAATTTCTTAGTCTCTTTTTCTTATTATTTAGCCTATTTTTCCTTTTATTTTTTATTATTCTAATAAGGTTTATGTTCTTTCTATTATCCATCTTCTTCTTCTTCACTTTCTGATTGAACTTCCTCTAAATTTAATTATTCAAATGGACTTAAATGAGGAGGGAGAGTCTAAAATAATTAATATAAATATTACTGATTCTGGAGCATAATCAGCTACACTCAATAATTTTAATTAGTTTATTGAATCATAAACCCATTATGGTTATATATATTCTCTCTTTTTATTCTTTTAAATTTATCTTTCAGTTATCACATGTGTTATTTTTGGATCAGTTAATTATGAATTTTTATTATCATTTTCCCACATAACTTCTCCTCCAAAACTCAATATTACAAATTCTAAAGATGCTTTAGGTACTTCTGGATACAGGAAAAATGTTAATCCTTTGAATAATTCTGAATATTTTTTTATCTCTTATTATTATTAATCCATCTATTAAATTGTTGGATCTTCTTTAAAGGCTTCATCAATTTCCATTCTAATATTAACAAATTAACAATACTAATTATTTTATTATATTGATTTTAATTTCTTAACTTCTTCACTTAAATCAGTAATTTCAATTTCTTAACCAAGTAATTTAAAATTGACAAATTTCATTAAAACTTAATAAAATTCAAGGAATGTCATCATTATTTTATAATCTACATCTAATGGTAAAGAAGCTTAAATAGGATATGGCATAATCCAAGTAATAGTTGCTCCTTAAACTACAGCTTGATAATAAATACCCTTAATAGATAGGAAAACCTATAATATAAATAGTTTAATCTTACTTTTCTCAAACAGTTATTAGCTGCTATATATAATAAAAATTAATTGATCATTTTTTAGCAATTTCTTATTAATGTATTAGGAATATGAAGTTCTTTATGTGTTGGAAATGAAGCAAATAAACTTATTAAGCATAATGGATCATCAAGATCATTTAATGCATCAATAAATGTTGGATACCTTTCTTTAACCAAATGATCTAATTTATCTTTTGGTTAATTTCTTCGTAATCTACCAGCCTTCAATTTGTCACCTCTTGTTAATGCTTTTCTTATTTTTTTTAAATGAGCCTATCTCTATCTGAATGTATCAAGTATAGACTCATTTTTAAGGAAAGCAATATCCTTATTATGGTAATAGGTTTTATGTTATTTTCTTAATTTTTAAGGTGGTTCTCTTGGGTAAATTCCTTTTAAGATGCAAAGTCTTCTGAAATCTTTGAGATTGACTTATAGTTTTTTGAGAGCTTTGGTTCTTGATGAATATTCTTTGACTGGTCCTTCCTTTCCCTTTTTAATTTTTTTACCCATAAATTAAAACTATAAATTAATATTAAAAATGATGAATAAGGAAAATAAAATGAATATTGATTATGTAAATAAAAGAATGGAATAATTATCATAACATTTTTTCGATTTCGATTTAATTATTATTTTAATTCTCCATTTACAATCTTTCAATGTCAATAAATAATTATCTAATTTATCTTACTGATCTAAGCATCATGATCTAAAAGAGAATTACCATAAATTCAAGTGTCATAAAAATAATTATCCTATGAGATATATGAATATTATTATAACCTGATTACTACATTTTTATTATAAATGCCTAATTAATGATCAGCAATGTGATTAGTTGCCATTATAACAATAGTACTTGAAAATTCAATTAAAAATGACACAAATATTCCCAAAAAATAGAAGATTAAAGAATTAGGTTTTTGTCTTCTTATACCAATTGTCCCAATGGCGACACTTAAAATCCAGAGTAAAGAACTCATTGTAAAATATTTATTTGTTACGATATAATGATCAAGATGGCTATAGTAAATGAAATAGTAGTAAATTTATTTAAACCAAGTAGTTTGATTGCAGTTACTATAAATAAAAATACTCCTCCAAGTTAATGAGATGCATGAATTCTAAAATAATATCAAATAAATATTGAGTATACGATTTAGCTAATTGCTTAGATTCTATCTATTTAACTACTATAATATTTAATAAACAATGTTTATCTTCCAATTTAGGATCTTGGAAAAAAATAGGTTCTTACTTATTGGTTTTCACACTCTATAATTCATTTCTAATTTAGAAATTAGTAATAAAATAAGTAATACTAATCTTTTTGATAATTCTCTTCAGGTTGAAACTTTAGACTAGGTTTCTTTCGAATTATATCAATTTATTCAGCTTAAAGTTCTGGATTTTAATTTCCTTAGGACATATTAATCTTAATATAATTCTAGTATAAATATTAGTCTAACGAAATAATCTTATAATATATTTCAATTTGTTTATTATTCCTCCTATCCCACTAATCTAATTCTTTTTCCATCAATCCATTCACTTTAATGAATTTATTCACTTATTTAAATAAAGGTTCCTTTTCCTTATATTGCTTTCAATCCAATCATAATCCAACGTATTTTCTTTTAACTGAACATATGAACATACCATAACCATCTTTCTTTTCATTCTAATATCTATTAACAAATTATCTCCAATTTTATACAATCCATCAAATACTATTTAATCTAGAAATTTTATAATTCCTATATTCCATGCTTTTTATTTTTATACCATTGTCCTTCATAATCTCTATTTTCTGCCCATAAATATCGACCTTATATAAACTACTATAAACTACATATTCTATGTATATCATTTTAACTGAGTTTTCCATTATAAAATAATTCAAAAATTATAATAACCCTTAATCATGTTTCTTTTAAACTTCAACTTATACTTTAAATTTTGAACCATCTGACCATCATTACTCTTCATAAAAATATTATTTTTCATCCTTCCATTATTCTTCAAATTTTGTTCAACTATAATTATAATATCTCCCTAATCGCACTATAATATCATTCCATTCACCTAAATAAATATTCCCAACAGCATGAAATAATTTCCCTTTTCAACAAGCCTTGTTATTAATCCATTCTCCTTTGTAATCTGATTGATTTGGCCAAACTTATTTCTCCAAACTATATCGTTAACATTCTATCACTCTCAAATAAAAATGGCCCTGAATCAAAAGTAACAAAAATCAAATTTTTTTAGAATGACTCCTATTTTATTTCGATTTTGATTTAATCAATTTGAAAGAATGTCTCTTTGATTTTACATATACATTATGTATATTGAATTTAATTTGATATTTCCTCAACTCTATATTAATTTCTAATTGGAATATCTTCATCTCCTATTTATAATCCTATTTTAATTTAATTATCTACAACAATATTAAATTATTAAATTTTAAATTTTATTCCCAGGATTACTCTCTCCACATATTCCAACTCAAATAACCATTTTGTTAATTGATAATTATGTTAAAAATATATTAATAAATAATGAATATAAAGGAAACGATTTTTAACAAATTGTATAATCGAAATAGTAAATCAACTCTTTAATTACTATTGAGTTCAAAAAAATGATCTTTTAATTTCGAATTATTTTTGGAGATCATAGTTTAAATTATAAGTTAATTTTGGATTAAATTTACCTCCTCAAAAGTTCCAGACTTATAAATTTCTAATAATTGTAAACTAAAAATTTATTGAAATATAATCATCTATACACTTTTAAAAAAGCCTACTAAAAGATTGATTTAAGAATTTTTTATTTTTTGGATTTATAAAAGTGTTTTTAGTTTTGTTATTTAGCTACAAAATACAATCTACTATTTCTATTTGAAAGCTAAATTATTTTTATTCCTTTAGTTGTAGACTATTTAAAAGGCTCTTATATTAAGTAATATTTGTATATGTTTATTAATTCTTTTGAGTTTGAAAACTAATTACTAGAGTTTAAAATATTCAAAAATTTAGGTAGAATATAAAATTCTTAATAAAATAAAAATTTATATTCTTCAGATATTGTACTCCTTTACTAAAATAAAAAGAATAGTAGAGATTAGAAAAATTAAGAAATTACAAATAGTCTAGATACTTACAATCAATTCAAATAGTTAATACTATTAAATAAAAGATAAAATTATCAAATTAAATTAAGAATTGCTTTTAGAAGATTGTATTTCATATCAAATAAAAAATGGTAAATTATTTTATGTATATATTTGAAGTATAAAGAAAGTAATATAATCGAAAATATTGAATAATATAAACAGAATGATTTTAAATTTGTGAAAAAAGGTAAGAATGATAATAATTGATAAATTTATATTTGGTTTCAATAATCTTCTTGTAAGAATCCAGCATCTCTTTTGGGGAAAGAATTACATGAATCAACATTAATTTCACTAATTTAAACATAAATATATACAATCCACTTCTACAATTCCATACATCATGCAATTTATCATCTTTAATGCACCAATGCTTTTAACAACATTATTATTTATGTAATCCTGAACAAACATGACCATCTGAATTTTTGCAATCTTTATGACATGAATCATTCTCAGCAGTTGATCTAATCCATTTCTTATCATTGCTTGTAATAGGAGGAGCCATTGTTGCTGATATTATACCAATCATTAGAAGAACTAATAATAATCTCATTTCCGTTTTTATATATATATTATTAATTAATTTTACTTAATCAAATACAAAACAATTCTTTTCTAATACTTTCTTTTTTATAAGAATCTGAGTAATCAAGAGATAAATCTTAATTTTTAGACTTGATCAGTAATTTTTATTATTCCTTTATTAATAATTGTAATATTGTTTTATCAAATTTGTTAATCTAATATCGTTGTAAATGGTTGTGTTATATTGGTTAATTAGAGAAGGAGATTTTTTAATATTATTTGAATATAATAATATGATAATTAATAAAATTTTCAAATTTCAGCAAATATAATATTAAATGTTCTTTTATTCCAATTAGGATACATTCCATCAGCATAATCCATAGGACCAGGTATATTATCTTTAGGTACACTTTTTGAAAATCTTTCTTACTATTAATATATATAATTTAATTAATACTTTGCACATAAATGGTGGTGGATCTTTCTTTTTCTTTTTAAATAATCCTAATTAATTTTATGCTGATTTTTCTAAATAAAAAGGTTCATCATCTTCTTCATCTTCATTTGCTTCTTTTATTTTCCATCTTTCAGATCCAACTCCAAATGGTGGTTTAATTACTGCCAATTTAGGATCATCTTCTTCTGGTTTAATTATTTTATTAGCAATTGTATGTTAATTAACATTATAAGCACCTGGAGCTGGATTTATATTTGGAATTGATAAATCTTAACTTTTAGGTGCATGACTCATAAATGCATATGTTCCTTTTTGTTCTGGTAATTTCTTATCTTTTTTTGTATCATCATTTTTATCTATTTCATATGATCCTGGACCAGGAACTAATAATTTTTATTCTTTAAATCTATTCTCATTAACTCCAAATTATCCTAATGGAGCTTTCATTAATTTTTATATCAATCTTTATTCCATAGTATTAGCAGCCTTATATTAACCAGGAGCAGGTGTCTCTGAAAATTATTCTTCAAATCTAGTTTTGCTCATTAAAAAGGGAGGTTAAGCGCCTTTATAACGATGAGCTATAACTTCTACTTAATAACTGCCAGGGCCAGGAGTATGCTAAGATTTTGTATGAAATCTTTTAGTTCTAGTTTTTATTGAGCCTTTTGCTTAAGATTTATTTAAAAATTAAGAAATCGTTTACTGGGTAGAGGCATTTTCATAGTAGCCAGGACCTGGAGTTGCATCCTATTTTATTGATATAAAATACTTCAATGTAACTATATTCTGAATCTGCATCAGTTTCTCTAGCTGTAGTAGCTGGATTAGTAGATTGATGAAAACTATATTATTTATTATCCAATCCTTTTTTAATGTATCCAGTGTTGTTTTTTAGATTTTGAAATCTGAATTCAGAATTCCTACTTTGTTTAGAACTGAATGCTGTTGTTGGTTTCATTTAGTACATAGGTTAGGATTAACCACAGATATCATAATAACCAGGACCTATAGGTGACTTATTGTCTTTTTTATCTTGGCTTCTAGGTTTATGCCATGATACTCCTCTGGGTTTTGTATTATTGAATGTACTTTTAAGATCATAAGATCCTGGTCCGACATCATTAGATNTAAATGGTTGTGTTATATTGGTTAATTAGAGAAGGAGATTTTTTAATATTATTTGAATATAATAATATGATAATTAATAAAATTTTCAAATTTCAGCAAATATAATATTAAATGTTCTTTTATTCCAATTAGGATACATTCCATCAGCATAATCCATAGGACCAGGTATATTATCTTTAGGTACACTTTTTGAAAATCTTTCTTACTATTAATATATATAATTTAATTAATACTTTGCACATAAATGGTGGTGGATCTTTCTTTTTCTTTTTAAATAATCCTAATTAATTTTATGCTGATTTTTCTAAATAAAAAGGTTCATCATCTTCTTCATCTTCATTTGCTTCTTTTATTTTCCATCTTTCAGATCCAACTCCAAATGGTGGTTTAATTACTGCCAATTTAGGATCATCTTCTTCTGGTTTAATTATTTTATTAGCAATTGTATGTTAATTAACATTATAAGCACCTGGAGCTGGATTTATATTTGGAATTGATAAATCTTAACTTTTAGGTGCATGACTCATAAATGCATATGTTCCTTTTTGTTCTGGTAATTTCTTATCTTTTTTTGTATCATCATTTTTATCTATTTCATATGATCCTGGACCAGGAACTAATAATTTTTATTCTTTAAATCTATTCTCATTAACTCCAAATTATCCTAATGGAGCTTTCATTAATTTTTATATCAATCTTTATTCCATAGTATTAGCAGCCTTATATTAACCAGGAGCAGGTGTCTCTGAAAATTATTCTTCAAATCTAGTTTTGCTCATTAAAAAGGGAGGTTAAGCGCCTTTATAACGATGAGCTATAACTTCTACTTAATAACTGCCAGGGCCAGGAGTATGCTAAGATTTTGTATGAAATCTTTTAGTTCTAGTTTTTATTGAGCCTTTTGCTTAAGATTTATTTAAAAATTAAGAAATCGTTTACTGGGTAGAGGCATTTTCATAGTAGCCAGGACCTGGAGTTGCATCCTATTTTATTGATATAAAATACTTCAATGTAACTATATTCTGAATCTGCATCAGTTTCTCTAGCTGTAGTAGCTGGATTAGTAGATTGATGAAAACTATATTATTTATTATCCAATCCTTTTTTAATGTATCCAGTGTTGTTTTTTAGATTTTGAAATCTGAATTCAGAATTCCTACTTTGTTTAGAACTGAATGCTGTTGTTGGTTTCATTTAGTACATAGGTTAGGATTAACCACAGATATCATAATAACCAGGACCTATAGGTGACTTATTGTCTTTTTTATCTTGGCTTCTAGGTTTATGCCATGATACTCCTCTGGGTTTTGTATTATTGAATGTACTTTTAAGATCATAAGATCCTGGTCCGACATCATTAGATGAGTCAATAGGATTTTATTCCAACTGATTGTCTTCATATATTATAGAGTATAACCTTTATTCTCAATGTATCCTTAATGGACATTAGAAGGAATGGAGGGTATGCTTAGATATTTGTTCTCCTTTACTAATTACTCCAAAACATTCATTTTTTTTGAGCGATTAGGTTAGCCGGCCGAATGAAATTTCTTTCTTTCTTCTTAGAAGTATTATGTGGGACTAAGGATAGAATATGAAGATTATACCCAGGTCCTTCAAATCTATCCTCCTTAAATCTCACAGTAGTGGATCTGAAAACTGATATTGGTTTAGGTACTTCCAAAATTTTGATTTCTTGTTCATCTGATTAAAAGATAACCTTTTGACACTCGAAGGACCCTTATAGATTGTAAGTTCCAGGGCCAGGAACAGGTTTAGGCTAATTAGATTTATTTATTCTTTCGACGGTTGAATTAAAGGGATGATGATTAGATCTATTTTCTATTTCAGGGATGTGATCATATTATCCAGGTCCCACTTGTTCAGTTTTTGGAATGTAAGTTACTCTATTTTCACTTCTATATACAAAAGCCATTTGAATATACTATATAGTTAATTAAATAAACTATCAATCCTTTTAAGTAATCCATTCCAATAATGTGCCATTGTCCCATCTTCCTCTATGTTCTTCTCCTTTTTCATCCACAACTGAACCTAAACCATGTTATTTACCATCATGCCATTCTCCTACATATTTTGATCCATCAGCTATAAAAATATTAAATATATTTACGCCAATCAAATGTCCCATAACCTTATTTCTTATCATTCTAATAAGATCCTTTATATCTTCTTCCATCAGCCCATTTAAATTCTCCTAATCCATGCATTTTATTTTATCTCCATTATCCTATAAAGGTTCTACCATCCCCCCAAACATAAGTACCCATTCCATGAATTGCATTGTCTAAGAATTCACCTTCATAATATGATCCATCTGGCCATTTAAATATACCATGACCTTCCTTTTTACTTTAAATGTATGCTCCTTTATAACTTGTACCATCTGGCCATATTTCATGTCCTAATCCATCTTATTTATCATCTTTCCAACTTCCTTCATAACTTGCCCCATCTGCATGTACATATTTCCCTTAACCATGTGCTAAACATATTTACTTATTTTACCTTTATCATTATCCCATTCTCCTTCATAATAATCTCCATCTGCATGTATCAATCTTCCATGACCATGAGCACAACTGTTTTTCCAATATCCCTCATAATAACTACCTTCTTTCCAAACTTATCTCCCTATCATTATTTATCAATACCATACCTCGACCCTGTCTTAATCCATATTTCCATTGACCATCATAAACCATCCCTTATTCAAATATTTATGGCTCCAAATGTACTGCCTCTGGATCATCTCCTCTTGTATATTAATATTCCTTTAATTTACTAAGCACCATTTTGACTTTTGGCCCTATCAAACTTTATAGTTCACTAGCTGGTCTACCCCAAGGCTAAGCCAATTTTGCTATTGGGCAATGCACTGATATTAATTATTCTGAATTTGTTTTTTATTTTTAAATGTCCACACCATCTCCAACCATAGATAGTGATGCCTCCTTTTGTATATTAATTGAAGGTTTTTGACTTGTTCTCAATTAGTGTTAAGAAGCATTGACAATTTCTGCCAAAGAAGCTTTTGAAAAAGGTTAAGATCTTCTAACCATAGAGTGCAAAGATGCTTGTTTTGCATTCTAATGAGCACCATATTCATTTATATTCTATGGGTCATTCATACATGCTTGACAATTACCCATTACAATATTCAAATAATATAAATAATTGATTTGATTAATTTACGCATTCAAGCATTGTCATTTATTCATAAGTATCTCGAAATTTATCCTATTATTAATGTTCTTTCAAAGTACTTTTAATACTTGAGTTAGAAGATACTTTTAATGAAATATTTATACACATCAATATTTACAGAATACTGACTGATTTATTTTAATATTAGAATCATTTAAACAATACAATAATATCAAATTATCAGACAGAATAATAATTTTTAATTAAATAGCATTCTTTTTTGTATTTGATTATAGATTTGATTACAAAACATTATTTATGACATTTAATTTAATTTTGATAATTAATATCCATCTTTGAGATACGTTTATAGCACTTGATCTAATGGTTTATAGATAATATGAGTGATTAGATTATGTATTTATCAAATTATTGGTGTCTTTTTTGTATGGGAATTTCAAGAGTCAATAAATTAGTTAATAAATTATACACATTATAAGAGCAATAGTACGTAATATCTTTACTTTAATTTATTCGATTATGAAATATCTTTAATTTTCTTAGGTTTAAAACTACCCAACATATCCAAAAATTCATTAATAAAACANAGTAATCCATTCCAATAATGTGCCATTGTCCCATCTTCCTCTATGTTCTTCTCCTTTTTCATCCACAACTGAACCTAAACCATGTTATTTACCATCATGCCATTCTCCTACATATTTTGATCCATCAGCTATAAAAATATTAAATATATTTACGCCAATCAAATGTCCCATAACCTTATTTCTTATCATTCTAATAAGATCCTTTATATCTTCTTCCATCAGCCCATTTAAATTCTCCTAATCCATGCATTTTATTTTATCTCCATTATCCTATAAAGGTTCTACCATCCCCCCAAACATAAGTACCCATTCCATGAATTGCATTGTCTAAGAATTCACCTTCATAATATGATCCATCTGGCCATTTAAATATACCATGACCTTCCTTTTTACTTTAAATGTATGCTCCTTTATAACTTGTACCATCTGGCCATATTTCATGTCCTAATCCATCTTATTTATCATCTTTCCAACTTCCTTCATAACTTGCCCCATCTGCATGTACATATTTCCCTTAACCATGTGCTAAACATATTTACTTATTTTACCTTTATCATTATCCCATTCTCCTTCATAATAATCTCCATCTGCATGTATCAATCTTCCATGACCATGAGCACAACTGTTTTTCCAATATCCCTCATAATAACTACCTTCTTTCCAAACTTATCTCCCTATCATTATTTATCAATACCATACCTCGACCCTGTCTTAATCCATATTTCCATTGACCATCATAAACCATCCCTTATTCAAATATTTATGGCTCCAAATGTACTGCCTCTGGATCATCTCCTCTTGTATATTAATATTCCTTTAATTTACTAAGCACCATTTTGACTTTTGGCCCTATCAAACTTTATAGTTCACTAGCTGGTCTACCCCAAGGCTAAGCCAATTTTGCTATTGGGCAATGCACTGATATTAATTATTCTGAATTTGTTTTTTATTTTTAAATGTCCACACCATCTCCAACCATAGATAGTGATGCCTCCTTTTGTATATTAATTGAAGGTTTTTGACTTGTTCTCAATTAGTGTTAAGAAGCATTGACAATTTCTGCCAAAGAAGCTTTTGAAAAAGGTTAAGATCTTCTAACCATAGAGTGCAAAGATGCTTGTTTTGCATTCTAATGAGCACCATATTCATTTATATTCTATGGGTCATTCATACATGCTTGACAATTACCCATTACAATATTCAAATAATATAAATAATTGATTTGATTAATTTACGCATTCAAGCATTGTCATTTATTCATAAGTATCTCGAAATTTATCCTATTATTAATGTTCTTTCAAAGTACTTTTAATACTTGAGTTAGAAGATACTTTTAATGAAATATTTATACACATCAATATTTACAGAATACTGACTGATTTATTTTAATATTAGAATCATTTAAACAATACAATAATATCAAATTATCAGACAGAATAATAATTTTTAATTAAATAGCATTCTTTTTTGTATTTGATTATAGATTTGATTACAAAACATTATTTATGACATTTAATTTAATTTTGATAATTAATATCCATCTTTGAGATACGTTTATAGCACTTGATCTAATGGTTTATAGATAATATGAGTGATTAGATTATGTATTTATCAAATTATTGGTGTCTTTTTTGTATGGGAATTTCAAGAGTCAATAAATTAGTTAATAAATTATACACATTATAAGAGCAATAGTACGTAATATCTTTACTTTAATTTATTCGATTATGAAATATCTTTAATTTTCTTAGGTTTAAAACTACCCAACATATCCAAAAATTCATTAATAAAACAATCTAGAAACTCAAAAATGACACTCTTTGAATAATTAGGAGGTGAAGCCGCTGTCACAGCTGTCACAACATAATTTTATGCTAACATCCAAGCTGATGCTACTGTTTCCAATTTCTTCAATGGAATCAATATGGCTGATTAGACAAATAAGACAGCTTCATTTTTATGTGCTGCTCTTGGAGGACCAAAGGCTTGGGGAGGCAGAGTATTATCATATTATTTAATATTTATTAGAACTTAAAGGAAGTTCATGCCAACATGGGAGTCACAAATGACCAATTCACTACAGTCATTGGACACTTGAGAAGTGCATTGACCTCAGCTGGTGTTGCTGCTGATTTGGTTGAATAAACCGTCGCTGTTGCAGAAACAGTTAGAGGAGACGTCGTCACAGCCTGATTTATCTAATATATCATGCACATATATCAAACACCTTCTTATATATCCTTCCTTTTGTTTCTATTATAATCAAATGTTTCTTAGACTAATCTAGAAAATGTTTCGAATTCAATTAAAAAAACCAACAAACTTTAACACCAAACCTGTCCTTATAATAAATATTATCTTTAAAAATAGTCATTCTGGAAAAATAATACAATAAAAGAAAGTAATCAAACATGTTGTTTTATTAAATTAAGTATTTTTTTCATAAACTTGTTAAAGAAGCAATTCTATTTATATTGATTATAGTTAGAGAATCAATATGTATTGTTTTTACACTAAAATATTTAGCATGTTTTTAAAATCATAACAATTATTTAATTGGAATTAGAATAAATTTTAAAATTTATAATGATAATTAATGATTGTATATGATATATACCTATTATATTTAAGGAATAGAATTATTGTTATCATTAATTCAATAATAGAGATTTAATTGTTTTGTAATATATTTATAATTATTATAATATATATATTTTTTAAATATTTTATTGTTATACTTCTAGAATTGAGTGATATCTAATCTCCAAATTAGGTTTGAACTAAACTTGATTAAGATATATATTACAATACTATGTATTCATCTCTTAATATCATTAGTTGCAAGTGCCAAATTATTAAATAATAAGTTCAGTGAAATATCGGATTACGATAGCTTTAAACTTGAATTTATTTGTTCTAATATGATTAAACAAATAATTTACTAAATATCCAAACTAAAAGTTGAAAATATCTTATTTGAAACAACATCAATAAGAGATTTGATAAATTATATTATATAGATAATGATAATTATTAAGTTAAGATCGAGTTGTATTGATTTAAACTTAAATTATTTAATTTTGATAAGGAAATAATTGAAATTCCTTTAATCTATATATTTAATAATTTTTATACAATTAAAAAGTCTAAATTATTAATTAAATTTAATGATTTTCATCCTATATCATTAAAATTAAATTAACTAAAGAAAGCAGTATTTAATTTAATAGAGAGTAATAATTTATATTTTCTTATATGCTATGTCTGATGCTTCATATCTATAAATAAAAGTAAGAATAATGATTTAGGAAAATAAATTATATAATAATAGATAATATGAAGTTAATGTTTAGTAAAGATTAAATACTGGATTTTAAAAAGGAAAGACTAAGATTGAAAATTATGGGATTAATGGGATTTAGATATATAAGTAAAATATAATGAAATAAGTAAAATTAATATTAATACATTTTAAGATTATAAATTATTTATTATGCGTAGTGCAACATAAGAGGAACTAAAATAGAGAGCCAAATTTAATGAAATTTCTTCAGGAGAGGAGGAAATACTATCAGATTCAGAGGAAGAGTGTGATCCAGAAAATTATAATTTTTTAATGTCTCAAGTTGATTTGGCAGCATTAACTTATGGAATTGTTTAAGAGGATCAAAAAGGATAAGAAATAAATTTAAGAGAGAGAGTTAGTACTCAGCAACTAAAATAGGAAGTCAATTAGGTAAATCAACATATTAGTGGAAATCACTAAAATATAACTAGTGTACCTAATCCAATAAAATTGCTAGTTTCAAAATAAAAGAGAAGATATAATTATAATGGATTTAATTTAGATCTAACTTGTATTATTGTTTATTAATTATAGATATTACTGAAAAGATAATAGCAATGGGTTTTCCAGCTGAGAATATTGAATCAATTTATAGAAATTCAATGTAAGATGTAAGAAGATTTTTTGATTCTGTACATCCTGGACATTATAAAGTGTACAATCTTTGTGAAGAAAGAAAATATGATCATTCAAATTTTAATTAAGTAGCAGAGTTTCCTTTTTAAGATCATTAGGCTCCNTTATACTTCTAGAATTGAGTGATATCTAATCTCCAAATTAGGTTTGAACTAAACTTGATTAAGATATATATTACAATACTATGTATTCATCTCTTAATATCATTAGTTGCAAGTGCCAAATTATTAAATAATAAGTTCAGTGAAATATCGGATTACGATAGCTTTAAACTTGAATTTATTTGTTCTAATATGATTAAACAAATAATTTACTAAATATCCAAACTAAAAGTTGAAAATATCTTATTTGAAACAACATCAATAAGAGATTTGATAAATTATATTATATAGATAATGATAATTATTAAGTTAAGATCGAGTTGTATTGATTTAAACTTAAATTATTTAATTTTGATAAGGAAATAATTGAAATTCCTTTAATCTATATATTTAATAATTTTTATACAATTAAAAAGTCTAAATTATTAATTAAATTTAATGATTTTCATCCTATATCATTAAAATTAAATTAACTAAAGAAAGCAGTATTTAATTTAATAGAGAGTAATAATTTATATTTTCTTATATGCTATGTCTGATGCTTCATATCTATAAATAAAAGTAAGAATAATGATTTAGGAAAATAAATTATATAATAATAGATAATATGAAGTTAATGTTTAGTAAAGATTAAATACTGGATTTTAAAAAGGAAAGACTAAGATTGAAAATTATGGGATTAATGGGATTTAGATATATAAGTAAAATATAATGAAATAAGTAAAATTAATATTAATACATTTTAAGATTATAAATTATTTATTATGCGTAGTGCAACATAAGAGGAACTAAAATAGAGAGCCAAATTTAATGAAATTTCTTCAGGAGAGGAGGAAATACTATCAGATTCAGAGGAAGAGTGTGATCCAGAAAATTATAATTTTTTAATGTCTCAAGTTGATTTGGCAGCATTAACTTATGGAATTGTTTAAGAGGATCAAAAAGGATAAGAAATAAATTTAAGAGAGAGAGTTAGTACTCAGCAACTAAAATAGGAAGTCAATTAGGTAAATCAACATATTAGTGGAAATCACTAAAATATAACTAGTGTACCTAATCCAATAAAATTGCTAGTTTCAAAATAAAAGAGAAGATATAATTATAATGGATTTAATTTAGATCTAACTTGTATTATTGTTTATTAATTATAGATATTACTGAAAAGATAATAGCAATGGGTTTTCCAGCTGAGAATATTGAATCAATTTATAGAAATTCAATGTAAGATGTAAGAAGATTTTTTGATTCTGTACATCCTGGACATTATAAAGTGTACAATCTTTGTGAAGAAAGAAAATATGATCATTCAAATTTTAATTAAGTAGCAGAGTTTCCTTTTTAAGATCATTAGGCTCCAACATTTTCATTGATATATGAATTTTGTTTAGATTTGGTATAAATACTATATATTATTATAGGATTATTGGTTAAAATTACATGAAAAGAATGTGGCTGGAATACATTGCAAAGCTGGAAAAGTATTTCAGTATTATAACAAAGGGTCGAACTGGTGTGATGATTTGTTGCTATATGTTATATGCTCGTTAATTTACAAATGCATATGATTCAATGAGGTACTATGGAATGATTAGGACGAAAAATAAGAAAGTACAATAACAAAAGTTATATTATTATAGGGAGTAACTATTCCTTCATAAATTCGATACATTTTTTATTTTGAGAAGGCTCTCAATAATAAATGGGTACCTAATGATATGCCAAATAAATAAGTAGAACTTGTTAAAATTCGAGTGATACCAGTTCCAAATGTAAATTTTTTTGGTGGTTGTGGTCCTTGGTTTCGTATTTAGAATAAAGATAAAGAGTATTCATCAAAAAATTAATTTTCTGTAAAAGAATATAAATTAGAACCATATATAGAATTTAAATTAAAAGACATTATATTACAAGGGGATGTGATGTTATAATTTTTAAATTAAGGATTCTTATCAAGGTATATAATAAATCAATAAATTATTTAAGCAATTAAAAGTTATTTTAAGCATGGTTTAATTGTGATTTCTTTGATTATACAGGTATTTTAATGATTGATAAATTTATGCTCGATAAAGCTTGTAAAGTATTTTAAATTATTATCAAAGGATAAATCAGGAAAAACATTTTAAAAAGATTTTCGTATTGAATTACATGTAGTAGAAGTTAATTAAGAAAATAAGTCATTTAATTCTGTACATAATAATAGTAATTTCTAAAGCACTAATAAAAATTTTGGATTTTGATCTAAAATTTATATTTATTTTTATTTTTACAGAAATAAACGAATGAATTAATCTTAATCTACATATACTAATAATTCTAGATTTGTATCTTTAAATAAAGATCCTTTAGAGAAATATAAATAAGGATTAAGATAAAAGTTTATAGAAATGTACGATTAAATTGAAGAATAAAGATTTAATTAGCCAATAACACCATAAGAAGGAACTATATTTTTAACTGAATAATAATCTCTTAGATCTATATTAAATTCATCAAGAAAACCTTCAGAGGTTGCATCTTTCAATGAAGAATGCATAACAATATAAAAAGAAAATTAATTTATGGATCTAAATTAAACACCAAAAGAAATATCAATATCATCATATACTTAAAAAAGAAATAAAAATAGAATTTTTGATCCCTTACCTAATATTAATCCAATTTTCAAAAGGCTTCATGATAATGGTAGATCTCTTTTGTAATAATCTAATATCAAATAACTATAATAATAAGAATAAATTTGTTAAACTAGTTTTATAATTTAAAAAGAAAATAAAGTTTAGATTCTATCAGAAAGCTTCTTATAACCGAAATCATCAATAGGTATATAAACTGCAGATATACCAATTAAATAAGAAACTATATAAGTGTAATGTAGTTTACAATAAAGCAGATGTGATTCAGAAATATTTAATATTTAATCATATTTAGATAGACATTATGATTATTATTAATATTAATAACATTAAAATTGGAATCCTAATATTTCTGAACTTAAATTATAAAATATGTCAGATGATTATTAATACACTTTTTGCAATATTTGTAAAGAATTTGTCAAAAATTATAACAATTAAAATAATAATCATTAAAAATTCTGCAAAGTATAGATTTATTAAAATACATTATCTGAATTAATTGGTAAATTTTAATATCTATTATCCTATGAAATTAATTTATTGAGGGATTTTGATGAAATGTGCAAAAGTACTAGAAGATATTGTTATGCAGGATTAGAAATCTGTACATTATTAATATAAACTCAAAGTCAAAAAAGAATAGAATAATTAACATAGGATTTGATTAAAGTAAATTTAGAAATTCAAAAAAATAAGAATAAGCATTCTCTTAAAATTGCTTAACTATTCTAATATTTAATCTTACAATTATAGAATTGACTTTATTAATAATTCTGTTTATGACTATTTTTTAATATTATTCTCTTAATTCTAAGTATATTATAATAAAATAAATGGAAATAATCAAAATAGGGTCAATTGTGAGTATTTCTCATTTATAAGATGATGATGCTCTAATAGGAGGAGATGGATTCATAAAAAAGTATTAATAAAACACTAATGTAGTGCTGTAATACTAAAAGGCATGTCACCTTTAAATAAATTAGACACTAAAGATTTTAACATTAGCTATTTTAGTCAAATGAAGTAATCATTAGTTATTATATTAGTATGCCAAATTGTTTATTTGTAGTATGTCCAAGAACATCAAATGGAAAGAAAGTAGAAGTTGCGAAACTCTTTCCTTCAAAAAAGAAGAAACTTTTTGGATCTATAAATGATGATGTAACTGATCAAAAAAGTGAGGTGACACCTGTAAGATCATAAGTATTATAATGTTATATTAATTAATAGATTAAATCAGTTACACATTCAGTGCAACCATTATTGAGTGAGAAGTAAGTAAGAGACAATTAAATGAATTTGTTTAATGAATTTAAATTTAATGTAGATGGTTTTGAAAAAGAGAAAGGCAATTATGTTAAATATGAAGAGCCAATATAATTATTACATTTAGCATCATCTAAATGGTTATGTTCATTATTAGATGAAGCTAAATTTGAAAATTAAAATTTTAAACTTGCTTTAAGTGATTATACAAGTGATGAAACTCTATTTAAAATAGTAGCCACTTATAAATATTAAAAAGAAGGAGATCAAATAGTATACTCATAAGAAATTGTTAGGATTATGCGTATGATACCTTTTCTTGGAAAACCAACTTATTTACATTGTTCTGGTGAGATACCATAAAAAGCAATTAAAGAATATAGAGAAAGTAGTGAAGTAAAGATATAAAAGAGAGAAATTAATGCATCACTTGAAGAATCAACATCTTGGAAAATTAATTTATTTTCTGAAGAATTACCTATAGATGGTGATTTAGTATGGATTCATCATTCTGAAACATGTTCATAATTAGCTGTTGATTATGAAAGAGATTTAAATAGAGCTAAGATATCTGTATTTTAAACAGATTTAAGTGAATTATCTTTTGATAATTATAGTGGAAATGCATATTCATTATGGATAATTGAAGATGAAGATTATAAAAAAGGAGGACCTTATTTATATTCTAATAATTATAGATTGAAACACTTTCATACTGGATTGTATTTAGCTTGTGTTAGAGTTATACCAAAAGAATAACAAGATATTAAAGTAGATCCATATGGAAAAAAGAAAGTGGTTATACCAAAAAGTAAGAAGGTACCTGCTACTTTTGCTTTATAAGTTCAACCAAACAAGGATGCTTTATTTAGATTTGAACCTTTAAAATCAGTTAATAAAAATGAGATTTAATCTGATTTTATTTAAATTAGAAGTGTTGCTTAAGGAAAATATTTAGATGTTATTAATAAATTTCATTAAGATGAAAATACATTAAGACCAATAATTTTAAATTAAAAGAATGAACATGCAGTTTTTAAAATATTTAGAGCAAATAAATAAGAAACTTAAGAAGTATTATTTTTAGATTCATGTACAAAATAATTAAGAAAG